ATTGCATGGACGTCAGACAATTCGTAACTAGCAACATAGTGCTGAATTATTTCATGGAGTAACAAAGTGACTGGTATTGAATAGAGTGTCGGTCTTCTCTCTCAGAGGAAGCCCCGACTGGAGGACTGAACACTCGTCAACAGAGGAACATCCCCATCAAGGCAATCAGCACCTCCGCCAGATCTCCACCAGAGGGGGAGGAGGAGGAAGAGGTCAGAGTTCACCTGTCGAACACTCTCCCACGAGCCTCCGCCCGGCGTTCCCTGGGAGAAGGGGGACTGAAACCACCGGCAGGAAGCCCCTCCCCCCAATTTCGCCAGAGAAATGCTTCCGCAGAGAGGGCAAGTCAGAGACAGGCCACGCAGACTCTGCGATCTCGCTCACCCTCTCCCGGGCTTCGGCACCCCGTCAGTACGGAGTCAAACTCTCCCTCCCCCACCCTCGTCCACTCCTCCAGACTCCATGGCGAGGACAGGGAGACCACGCCCTTCCCCCTCTCCCCCTCGTTCCTCTCTCCAGCCCCCCTCCGGAGCCCAACAGAACCTCGTTAAGACCCCATCTGCCCCGGGGCCTCGTAAACTCCCCACCCCGCCCTCGTCTGGGGGATTGAGGGGGCGTGGCTTGTCTCCCTCTTACTCCACCCCCTCGTCAGCGGGGTCTGGAGTAACTAGTACACAAATGGGGTTGACTCCATCCTCCTCCGGAGTGGGACATCAGCCGAGACAGCAGCAGGGGGGTCTGAGTGCCACGCCCCCCAGAGCTGGAGTACCCCGACCCCGAATGCAGCAGTCACCCCAGAGAGGTCTTACTCCGTCAGGTACTCCGCGATCAGCCCCTGGTTCCCAGATCATGCCTCCCAGACGCACTGCTGCTTCTCCCAACAGGTGAGACAACCTTTGCCTATATACCATCTTCTTTAAGTCTTATTTCACTCCACATCTGCAGGCAGCAGAGCAAGACACAGCCTAGGAGGAAGCTGGTTGCTAGTTCGGAAGACGATTGGTTAGAAGGTTGCTACTAAGAGAAAGAGACACTCACACCTATCACTGGTCGCTATAGGAACAACACCCATCACTGGTCACACAACTCACGACGATATTATTTAACTTTTGATATGATCATTTTCTACCCCATTGCATCACACACACACGTGGTCATCAAACTGTGGCGATGATTGGTCCATGCTGCGTACAGATTTCCGCTGAGGTTCAGCCCATATTGCGCACTCATTCTGCAACGATTATCACTGAGACAGTTTGGAAATTGCTATGAAAAGACTGCTACAAATCAAGTGTCTCCATTGCTCTGAACATTGCAAAGTCTGTCTCTTCCGCAGTAGCTACCAGTGCCTCTCTCTCCTCCTCTTCCCCCTCCCCACTCTCTCCTATTTCCCTCATCACCATCTCCCTCTTCACATCCAGTTCTCGTCTCACAGCTGCCACACACTGTCTCATTGCCTGCCTCTGTTCACTGGTGACGTGTGACGAGGGGGAGGAGTGAGGGCGTGAGAGGGTGACATCATCTGGGAGACAGCTTTGAATAGCAGACATCACCACTGACAGACATGGTGGGCTCCTATTAGAGTAGAACGTGATAAGCCAGTTTTCATGAGTTTCTTTTGCTAACTTGTGAAGAACAGACACAGTGGCAGTGTGTTTCTCGCCAGACACGTGAAGAAAAACCCTCTCCAGCTCTGACGGAGTCCCTGTGCCCCGTTCCATACTCCCATTCCCATTCTGAGGTGGTATGGAATGGGGACGTGGTAGAATACACCGAGCCGAGAGGGGCATCCTCGCCCTCAGAGTGTCTGCTAGGCAAGTCAGATCAGAGTAGTGAGAATGCAGCTTCAACTGATGGAGGCAGGGAGGGAGGGAGGGAGGGAGAGAGAGTATAATATTAAGGTGTATAGTTTAGTGCGGCCATAAACTACAAGCATTCTGAGATCATAAAGGATCGATGGTTATGTACCTGAGTGATGTTCTGAGTGGCGAGGAGACAGGCCAAGTCCTGCAGATGTCTCTGACTGAACTCCCTGATTGCTCCACCCACCATTTCTCCTCCGTCCCACAGCCCCAGACTCTCCTCCCACTCACACCACAGACCTCTGTCTGCCAGGCGGGTCTGTGACAGCTCCACCCTCCCCACCTCCACAACCCTCACACCTCACTCCTCCTCCCACTTCCCCACTTCCTCACTTCACCACTAGTCCGGCTGTCAGACAACCTAACACACCAGTCAGAGATTGATCAGTGCATGAAAGAAAAAAGTCACAATATTATGACGAAAGCTTTTCATGTCTCTAAAAGATTCTCTGGGAACTTGCCTGGTGACGCAATGCTAGAAACGTAGGTCAAACTGCGCTGCGTTGCAACTAGCGCGTGTTCCTAGGAAATGTTCACCTGGTGTCTGGTTCCATTCCGGCACTGACGGCAGGGGCACCCGGGAAACGAGACAGGCACAGGATCCATGTGGTACTGATCTCTGTCTCAGTAGCCCAGCCACCTTCTCTACTCCGGCCTCTCTCAGAACACCCTCCACTATCTCCACCCCTCTCCTCGCTCGCTTGCTGGCTGGAGGCCCACTGCTACCTCCTCTCTCTCCTTCACAGATAGTTTGATGTTCATCTTCCTCTATCTTGACTCCCACTCTACCGGAGCTAGTTTGATGTTCAGAGCTGCCCGCCTCCCTGAGAGCTGATCCAGACTAGTTTGCTCTCTCCTCTCTCCACTACTGGTAGACCATCCAACCTCAGTCCAACACTTACCTGCCGCCAAACACTAAAGCATTGGGCCCTTGAATATTTTCAGTTCACACATTACATTTTACTAACCAGTTGGTATTGTTTTTCAAGACCACACCCACCACCCAGAACCCGTCCAGCAAACGCTGCCAGCATTCTGTGACAACTGGTACACAGTGGGCGGAGTCTACACTAGCCACACCCACTTTATCGTCGACCCTCGTCTCCATCTTGCCAGTGAGGAGGCACACCAGCGACTGTAATTATGGAGAAATGCACTAAATATGAGCAACATTAATGTTGTTTTTTTATAATAGGCAGCATGATAATTATTAGCAAATGTATTATGTTTTGTTACATATCCGACAAAAAGTTTTGAAAAGCAGAATAATTATACCAAGATAATTACGTTTCTTGCTACAGTAAACTCTCACCGGATCCCGAGGAGGAGGAGGAGAGGAGGTGTTGATGGTAGGTAGTGAGGCCACCAGCTGCAAACCTTCTCTCAACAGCCCAGTCTTCTCCTGCAGGCGTCTCTCCATCTCCATCAGGTGAGCCTCTCCCACCTGCACACCTCAACACACACAGGAGAGAACATACAATATGGTACCGGGAGGATCCTTCAGGAAGGGAACAATGACGGTATGTAAGTGTCACGAACCTGCTGTCTTTTCTGCAAGGCCTCGACTGCACTGATCAGTGACTGCGCCACCTTGTCTCTGGCCACACCTCCTTTGACTCCGCCCTATAGTCAGAGAGACTCCACCCACTATTTCAGGAACACCTGGTAACCGTACCTGGCAACTAGTAGCAGTGAAACCACGGAAGTCAGTCACAATAAACTGCCTGGTCAGATCCTCTCCCTCTACATAAAGACACACAATATGCCTTACAAATTTAGTACGTAAAATGCCTGCGGGATCCAAACTTTATTTACCACACCAAAAGTGTAAATCAGCGAGTGGTTGATTTTGTCCTATGCATTCAGATTTGGTAAGTAGGAGTGGCAGTGAGTTTGGACTTAGATTTCAGTTCGATTCTGCTTTTTGCCTGTGTGAGATTTCATATGTATAGTACCATCTGGAGCCAGTAGTAAAAGGAGCTGTTGTCTGTTGAGACTGGCAAAGTCCCCCACAGCTGTCTGACTCACTCCCTCCCACCTCCCCTCCTCCCTCACTTCCCTCTCTCCACACGATGACACACTGTATGCCTTCACTCTCCGGTCAACAGATTTCACTGCAACCACTACTTCGTCACCAGACACCTGCGACAAAATCAGAACGTCTAAATTTTAGCTCCAAGGTAAAATTTTCTGTCTAGTGCTCTAAAATTGATGTGCTTTCTACAATCAACAAGTGGTTTAGAATTTGCTGCTGTAGCGTATGTATCTACCAGTAGAACTTGGAGATGCATCGGTGTTGCTTCCATGGCAACACAGTGAACGGGAATTCCCCCTCTGAGCACGACCAGCTGTCGGTAGGATGTTCCAATCAGGACACGAGTCTCGCTCCACATCCCTCCCTCTCCCCCCACCCCCCAGAACTGACACACAGCCACACACACTGCGACACAGCCGTAGTCTGCAGGTACACAGCGGTGAGAAGGAACCAATCGCACATCGAGTTCGCCTCTCTTCCCTCCTCTCCCTGCTACATCCACTGATAGACAGCACCATTGGGTCACAGGCTCTGCTTCACAATCGCTGGAGCTAGAACACCGAACAAGTAGTAGGAGCAAGTCATGGTGGCAGTGAAATGCCCAGAGCCTCTCAACAGTAAGACCTGATCTGCCAATGAAACCACCGAGGACTATGTCTCTCTTGGTAAAGCCTCTTACACCTGTGTCCACATCTGGTAGAGCCACACAAACCTTCTCCTGCTGCCCCCACACTAAGGTTGGTCCGTCAAGGACTGTTAGATTCTTCTCCAGTCCGCCAGAATCTGTGTTCAGCGTCCCGTGGGATACGAGGGTGTCGCTAGGGGAGGGACAGAGTGAATGGACCTCGAGAACGTCGCTGGAGGCTCGTCGGGACACCAGGAACGGTACAGTGATACCACGTGAATTGTCCAGCGTTGTGTGCAGTGCAACAGTTCGTCCGGCAGACGGGCAAGTTGTTGTCTGAAACGACCAGGCGCCTTCTCTCTCGCACAGTCTGTGTCGTAGGACTAAATTCCATCCTCCGTCAGTCGTGGAGCAGGAAACTAAGCTGCCTCCAGTCTCCACGCAACAGAGAAACGACATACCCGGCCACGCCCACTGGATTTACAACACGTGGGTGTGCTTTAAATAGAGTGATCTTGCATTACGTGTTCTGACGTAGGGAGGCGGCGTCCTCGATCCCCAGCTTGGCGTCTGGCTGCTCTCCCTTCCCGATCCTCTCTTTTCGGCATCTCAGCTGAGCTGCGGGTTGGTGATTCAGCCAGTAAAGCAGGGATGACTGCTGAAGTACTGTCGGAAGAGGTGAGCCGACGGAACGACACCGCACGCGTCACGTTATCTGACGCAACCACTACTCAGGAGGTGATGAGGATTTCGGAGGAGGTGCGGGAGAGATTCTTACGAGAGCACTCAGGTCAGCTATAGCCAGCTCCCTGTTGACTAGACTCCCAACCTCTTTTTCCATCTGAATTACTCTGCCTCCACTCTCACAGAGAGTAGTATGTTTGACCCTCGCGACCTCCAGCGAGTGAGAACCGACCCTGAATACGTTGCTAAGTTCACTCGGCAACAGCGTGGTAACCATGATAACACCATCAACCAAATGGTGCGCCACTAAAAACGATCAATTTTATTAGTTTTACCTGAATTCCCTGTTTTCCTCTCTCTCTCTCTCTCTCTCTCTCTCTCTCTCTCTCTCTCTCTCTCACATTCGCTTGTCTCAAAGGTTGAATCACTGAAGTGGAGACATAGTTTCGGAGTAAACGGTATGTTATCCAATGACATCATATCCAGAACAGACCTAGCCACTGTGTAACACTCTCCAAGGACACCTATTACACCGTTTCTTTCCAAGAACAGTTTTTGCATGTAATTTAACCCCTGAGATCGGAACAACTTACTAAACCGACATTTCAGAGTAGAGAGCTTCCACTGTATACATATTAGTATGGGGCAGAACTAGGTGTCCTTTATAGAGAGGTGTCCTTTATTCGGTCCTTTTTTATTATTCAGACATTCAGTTTGAGGACATTGAAGAGTACCTGTGGCGTTCAGGAATGGCATTCAACCACGGCATTGACAAGAGAGGGCAACACATTGGTGAGCCACAACTCTGACCTTTCTCCGCTGGAGGCCTGTTTAGCCACCTCCCTCCCTCCTCTTCCACACAGTTGTCCTCAACATCAAAATCCACAGAAAAGACTCTAAGAAGTCGGTTGCACTGCAGAAGTGGATCTCCTTCTGTTTCGAGACCCTTGTATGTGAGATTACTCCTGCCCCTCTATCACAAATTCTGATTAGCTTGTATTTATATACTACCCCACAAGGACCTGACGAAAGAGAAATTATTCTACAGCTGTGTTTTCTTTAGTTCCCTCATTTTTGACCCCCGCCCCCCTCTCTCTCTCCCCCTCTGTATTCAGAGGTCGGTCCACCCAAAAGGGAGGATGTGTATGATATTCGACATGACTGGCAGCGGACTGGCTCAGATGGATATGGAGCTAATAAGATTCATAGTCAGCTGTTTCAAGCTCTATTTCCCAGATCTCCTGGGGTTTCTGCTGGTCTACAATATGCCGTGGATTCTACAAGGTTACCTACTAAAGTACCGCCGCTCTCCACACTCACGTACGTACGTACACCTCTGCTATTACGGTAAAAGTCCCATTTTAGCTACGACATTTTGTATTTGAAAAGGTGTTGTTGAACAATACTATATATCTAGCTATAGTAATTACTGGCAGAAAATCTGTTTGCAAGCTCCTTTGTCCTCAAATAGACTCTAGGAAAATTAGTATTATTATTACTATTACTGTTTGTGTGTTTGCTTTGGATGAGGGAGTATTACATTATAAGTAGCTCCTTTTCTCTCCCTCTCTGACAAATGCAGCTGCCTGGAAGATTGTCCAGTCTTGGCTCTCAGAGGGAGCCGTCGCCAAAGTCAAGTACGTTGCACTATGATGATGATGATGATGCGATATGACATCACACTGGTCATGTGATCCCCTCCATCGATGCTGTAGATTTGTAAACAGCGAGACGATAAGAGAGTATGTGAGTCCGGACCAGCTCCTGACTCAGTTTGGAGGGACGGATCCCTGGGAGTTTGACTACGAGAGAGAGAGGGAAGTGATGCTGGGTCAACTGCAGTCCGTCCTGCAGCGAGACCAGGGGGAGAGAGAGGAGAGGGAGAGAGAAGAGAGGGAGAGAGAAGAGAGGGAGAGGGAGGAGAGGGAGAATAGTCAAATGCAATCAACTGAGGTAAGAAAGAAAGCAGGAATTGGTGCGTTTGTTATGTTGTCGTGACGATGTTGTGTCCCAGGTCCATTCCAGTGACGCGGAACAGAACCAGAGTGGCGACAGTCTGTCTTCAGAGGGTGGTGGTGATCAGGGAGCGAAGGGAGGGAGGGGAGGAGGGAGGGGAAGAGAGGACGAAGGAGGAGAAGGCAGAAAGGTGAGAGGTTTCTTCCACTATAGCAGTTGCGTACCAAGGCATATTTTTTACGGCTAGAGAAAAAATTTCCTACTCTATTAAATTATGGCAGGAGATATTGTTTACTGTATCGCAGGTTCGGTTTTCTGCCAACCTTCCTCCGTCGCGACAGAGCAGGTATGGTTTTGACGAGGAGAGAGAGGTGGAGAGGCGAAGAATGGTCTCCCCCGATGATCAACAGCTGTTTCAGGGCTCTGCCGCCAGCAATGGGTTCAGGTGAGACCACACCCACTGGTTATTAAATTGTGACCACACCCACAGGAGGCGACAGGTGCACAAACTGATGAGTCTCCAGACTGAGCAGAGGGGTCAAAGGTCGACTGACGCCACGGACACAAACCACGGAATTGATAATCGGAGACATTTGGAGCCGCTGCTTGGCTCTCTACCTTTCTCCTACATGTTGTTGAGGTACTATACATCTGGAAGCTTTTTTAAAATCGGTCGTTTAATTTTCGCCAAACACACAATTATTCCCACCCTTTCTAATTTCTGGAATGCTTGTTTTCGCCGCATTTATTGACTGGGTTCCACTGCACAATTGAACAGTCCACAAAACTTCTCGGAATTCAAAATTACATCATGCAGTTCCCTCCCTCTCCCCTGCCAGCCCAGTAAATGAGCTGGTGTTCTCTGGACCTCGGGACAAGGAGCTGCTCTGCACTCTCTCACTGACCAATACCTCACACGACTGCCCCGCAGTCTTCAAGATCAAGACAACTGCTCCTCGCAGGTACAAAGTCCGACCCAATCTCTCCCTCGTCCGGCCCGAGGCGAAGACAAAGGTTCAAGTGCTGCTGGTGGCTGGGTCACCAAGTGTCGCCATCTCAGACGACAAGTTCCTGGTCCAGATATTCTCATTCCAGCCCTCGGCGACCGTCCCGAGTCCAAACCAGCTGCCCTCCTTCTGGAAGTCTCTGTCAGAGAAAGACATCACGGAACATCGGTATACAGTAATCTAGTAATCTCACTCAGTAATCTCTCTGGATATTTCACCATTTTTGTTGGCCCCTACTTTATGGGGGGGTGTCATGCGCAATAATAATATCTGACCTTCTGTTAATTCAGTAATCTTGGTCAGTAAATCTCAGGATACCTCTCTCCTCCCTGTGCAGGATGAGATGTCGATGGGTAAAGGAAGACATGCCCTCCCTGGTCCCCTCTCCCACCGTCACCTCCACACCCCTCCTCCCCCAAACTCCACCCACTTCCACGCCTCCACCAGACACCCAGTCCGGGCAGCAGCGAGAACTACGCAGCATCAATGACAAAGTATGAGAACGCACTTCATTAGGATAAGCCAAGTTAATGGTTATCTTGCAAGTTGCACATTGTGGGATTAGTTTATGCACAAGGCAGTTTGCAATGTCGTTCATCATCTGTATGCATCATTCGGTACTCTCTCTCTCTCTCTCTCTCTCTCTGCAGCTGGAGAAGCTGGTAAGAGTGAACCAAGATCTCTCAGCCAGAGTTCGCCGACTCAGTCACGTGACTACCGCCCTGTTGGTCTTGCTGATTGTTCTACTGCTCAAGACTGTACTGCTAATATAGCAGCAGTATTGTATGTGTGTCTGGCTATTATGATTTTTGCGATGATGATCAATTGCCGCCGACTGCATCTCGCTGGGCGAACGAACCCTTTTCGTTGGTGAAAAGCTAGCTACAGGCTAGGCCTAGGCTAGGCGCTGATGATCTCTACGCGCGCTCCGTTCCACCATGACGACTGGTCCACACCCACGCTTGTTTCATAACAGGGTGGGGATTTCCCGGGGAATTCCCCATCGCTGTACCCTCGCTCAGCCATCATGGCCCTCAGTTCACCAGGTATGTATGTCATGTGTGTTAAGCCTGATCGAAACAACCACATGTCAATCATATTACTTGACGTTGAGTTACCGCTTTTATAAGCCGCTACATGACCAGTGTGTAGCACATGCCATGTATATACCAGTTGTAAGTGGGCGCGGTTTTGGGCGGGATTTCAGTCACGTGAGGATCATGTGACTCTTCCCCTGAGGGATGTTCATGTGATAATCACATGCTTTTTATAGACAGGATGTCTGCATGCCGGAAACACCTACGTATCGAAAATTTAGGGTCGGACCACCCAGTTGTGTTCATATAAGTGTATATCCGATTATGCACATTGTGTATGAGGGGCCGCTCGCCATAATTAGTTGACTGCAGTGTCAACATGGCTTTGTTGTCGCTCACTGTACAACAGTGTGCCATTATGAAACTACCCGATTCGGCATTTTTGTTCATTTCTCCAATACCGCACCCTACAATTCCCGGAGTATGAATACTGCTTAGTCCAAACACTTTCACAAGCCAATATCGTGTCGAATCATTAGCAAACTGGCTCTTTAGTCCCTAGCTAATTAGTGAGTGCTGTTTGTGTTTTGTAGCCTGTACCTGCCGGTTGTATGCTAGCTACAGATGTAGGTTTGGCAGCATGTCAATCAACTGTTTTCTTTAGCCAAACAATTGCCTATGCGCAAGTTTAGAATGTCAATGTCTTGTCTGAGAGAGTGTGAGAGGCAGGTTATCTCTCTGTCACCACAGGCAGCGGTCGTGTGTCAGTGGAGTCCATCTCTGAGAATGCGCTGGCAATCAGACAAAGCCTCAGACTCCCTCTCCTCCTCTCCGCTCTACGGCAAAAGGGAGTTCTCTCCCACGACCAGCTAGAGAGGCTGGCCGACCCTCACTACTCTGAGATCGAACGGTCCGGCTCTCTGCTGCAGTTCATCACCAAACACACGCAGAGAGGAGTGGACGCGTTCGTCGACAGCCTGAGGGAGACGAGATGTGAAGAACACGACAGAATCCTGGAGCTACTGGAGGACGTGACATCAGAGGGCCCCGTACGCTCACCGCTACTGGACATCTTCGATACGAAGAGAAGGGAGATTGTGTCGCGGCTGAGTTTCACAACGTTCGTTAATCATCTGATGGAGATGGAGGAACTGACGATGCACGAGAGGATGGAAGTTCACAACCCTCACCGCTCGTCGGAAGAGAACTGCCTGGCGCTCCTCTCGCTGCTGGCTCAGAGACCAGGGGCACAGGGACTGCTCAAGTTCATCGAGTGTCTCTACCAAGACCCCAACCCTAGTCATATGGACCTGGCCTCTATTCTCCTTCAAGAAGGTACATAGGACGAGTGGGAGAGGGCAGCGTACTGGAGCATGCTATTTCTCTTGCTGTTTTTTGAATGTATTGTAGTGGCAATGATGGGCAAGACAAAAAGTAGGCAAAATTTTCAATCTTTTTTTGACTCCAGCTGCAGTGGCAGCGAAGGAGCATCCTCGTAGGATGGACATTCTACAGGGAGACAAGACGCAGCTGCTTCAGCTGGAGAGGTGGAAGGAGGTCGGGACTCCCGCTGATGTCGGATTCAAGACAATGTTCAGGAAAAACGAGGCCACATTGGCTAGAGGGGTAAGCCCCTGCCACATTCTCTGTATCACAGAATTTCCAGTTACATTTTTGTTGCTGTTGTAGTTGGTTTGCATACTGTAAGTGGTCGAGTCTTTTCTTCCTTGTGCAGTTGAATGTTGGAGCCATACTCCCGTACCTGCTGAAAAAGAAGGTGCTGATGGCAGAAGAGGAGAGAGAGATCAACCAGCTGGCACCAGACGACCAGGCCCAGCGACTGGTTGCCATGGTAGGGAGAAAAGGAATGCGTACCATCGCGGCTTTCGTCGAGTGCCTGAAACAGAGCAGGGAGAACGAGAGGCTGTCGCATCTTTTTGACGTGGCACAGAGTGAGTTGAGCTGTAACATTGTTAAAATTTTGTCTACGCCATTTACGTTGTCACTGCTCTTACCGTTAGCCAGAAGAATGGCTCCGAAATCAAGTACAGAGAAGACAAGTATGTGTTTCTCCTCTCTGTTCAATACTCATCTCTCTCTCTCTCTTTCTCTCTCTCTCCCTCCCTCTCTCTCTCTCTCTGCAGGTAGGTTAGCAGTGCTCGTGAGTATGGACACATTTCTCTGGTTGAAGAATGACTACGTGGCGGAGGAGAAACACATGAAGACTTACAGCAAAGATTTTGAGGATCAAAGGTAGAAATAATGACCCTCGATTCACCCCACAATCTCTATCTCCATCTCGTTCTCCTCAGAGAGGGGCTCAAGAGGTGCCTGTATCGACTGGAGTTTCAGGTTGTTGATTTCGGAGAAACCGTCTCTGAGAGGAGCAGGGCCAGAGACACCAGTGGGAAGTCTCCTTCCATTAACACTCTATTTGACAAGGCAGGCCTCTCGAGGGAGCGTGTTTGTTTATCTCTCTCTCTCTCGTCAGGAGGTGGCGTCTCGCTGCAACAAAGATGCTGTTGTGTTCATTTACATTTCGGGCCAACAGTTTCCACTGAAGGTTAATACGTAAATTTACATTTTTGAGCACGTAGTGTAGTGTTTGGTGTGGGTATACTTTACTGCAGATCTCTGGTAAAGATGGAAGTGAAGACAAGTACAATGGAGCTGTGCTTACAGACGGAGCCTCAATTTTGAGCCGGAGAAAGGTAAGTGTTTCCTCCAATCCCAACTCCCTCTCTACCTCCATTTCCCCCCCACATAGTCTGATTGTATAGACATGACTGACCTCAAGTACTGGGTGGAGCTCCTGCCAACAGACTACATTACTTTCCTAGTGGACTGCCACCAGTCTCACGTGGTCTCGTTTGGCAAACAACGGCTGGTCAGTGGTAGTGTAGTGGTCTGTCAGTGGTAGACTAGTGGTCTGTCAAATACACACCTGCTAACATGATCCGTGGTGTAGATATTGTAGCATCACTACAAGAAAGTGTTTATCAGTACAAGCAAAACAGATTAGACTTACATTCCAACACTTTTGCGGCTCCTGTGGTCTAGTTTGACATTGTTTCGTCTTGTCTGGTACCCCCCCCCCCCATGTCAGCCATCAGAGGTGGAGATAATGAGCAGTCCTTGGTCTGCTCTGACTGGCTGCCAAGGAGTGGTCCTCTACTTCTGCCAGCCAGACCCCGAGACCATGTGGAGACTGAGAGGCACATTCAGGTGAACCTTAGGTTACGTCCAATGCATGGCGCAAAGGCTAGCAATGCAGTGCCTGCAGCCATAGATAATAAACCTACTCCCTACTCTCTCGGTCTCTCTTGCAGAGAGGATTATTCTGTGTTTGGAAAACTGACCAGACTTTTTGTGAAGGTTCTGATATCGTGGATCAGCAGGAGAAGGTCAGCTCCTCATTCCCACAGACAGAGAGAGAGAGAGAGAGTAAGAGCCCCACATCTTCTGCAGAGCTCACAACAATGAAATCTCTCATCGACTGTTCTACGAAGCCATCTCTTTCCACTGGCACAAGAACGGCAGAGAGCACGAGCTGTTTGTCCCAGCTATTCAGGTCTCATTCTGTAACTGATCTTCTTTCCTCTTTCTCCATTTGTTACCAATTCTCCAACAAACGTTGATTTTTTGACTGTGATTCATGTAGGGAGATGTAGATCGCTCATTTCTAGGTATTGCCTCGTACCCTTACCTCCAAGTCCTGCGAGCTGACCTGGTGCGGAACCAGAACCAGACCAGTGATGACCGTTGTCCTTTCGACCTCACCAAACTGCAGGCAAGACCACACCCCCAGATTGGCGTGGATCCATCTTAATTTGCATGATGTAATCTGGCATCCCATGCAGGTTGCCACGGGAACGCACCTTGGACTGATAGGGGACGACGAGCTTGAAGTGTTCCACATTCTGTACCCGGAGGTAAAGGTCACGGGAAGGGTCACGAGGGCACACCCCCTGTCGTCAGTGGCTGAGATTAAAGAGGAAGAGAGGGAAACGTTTGGTCGACTTCTTGCAAGTATTGAAACAGTGAGAGACTTCGTATACAGCCGAGGTTAAAAAATGTATCCCTCTCGCAATAATTATAATTGAGGCCAGAATTTCCCATGTTTAACAACAGCAGAGGTTTTTAAGTACAGTTGATAGACTTATACACATCCCAGGCCATTTCCCAGATAAACGTTCTGGGCCCAAGACTACTGTACGTGTTCCACACACAGTCTTCCTCTCTCGCAGGAGGAAGGAATGAAAAAGGATGGGTCGACTGAGTTTGTGATGGTCAGGAAGAAGTTCCCAGCTCACCTGAGGGAGAGCTATGCCGTCATCTGCAGCAGCGAACTATCAGAGAGTGCGTTACAACAATCACAACCACGTTCCCTGCGGGGACACTCGGCATGCGTGCTGAGTTGTCTACTTTCGTTTTTCACTTTGCCTCGAGACTTATTTACAGCACAGAGAGGGTTAAATTTGATATTGGTTTGGATGAGATGCCCAATGGGTTAGTTCTCAGCCCTTCCTCATCATTTGCATGTTCTTCTTCTGCACTGAGGGTTCCTTCTCAGCCCTTCCTCATCACTTGCATGTTCTTCTTCTGCACCGGGGATTTCTAACTTGTGTGCTCTCGTTTACTGTTCAGGTGACAGAGAGACTATCAAGAACTATATAAGGAACTATTCGCAGTTGCTGTATTATGCCCTCAGGCCTAACATGTGAGTAGGAATAATTATGGGGGAGAGAGAAACTATGAGATCTGAGGTGGTGTATAATCCCGCAGTGCGCGGCTGGAGGTGAAAAAGACGGGTCAGTTTTTCACGGTTGAGGATCGCGAGAAGAGGAAGGAGGGAGATACTCTCGTCCCGGTCAACGACATTCCGTTCAGACCCCGCGTCAAGACCATTCAAAACGTCAAGTCTGTGTTGGGTGAGTGTTGGGATCACGTCAGCAGTGTCAGCTGGTGTCAGTTTGGAATCATTTCTCACAGAGATCATGGCGTGGTTCAAACACGTCAAGAACCTTCGATCGCAGACAGACCTCAACCACTTTCTGTGCTACCTCGTCTGTGGTTAGCCCCTCTAATAATATCACTGGCTTCGGCCAGCGACAATAATGTTGTAGTTTGTGATTCCATTAGTTCTGTGCCCAGACCATTTCAATACACATGCGCACATGACGAATATGAAAATTGGTTAACTCGGTCACACGTGTGTGCAAGAAATGGTCTGGAGATAGACAAAGGATCTCTCTCTTCTCCTCCTCCTCTCCTCCTATTCAGAACGACCTCTTCTCACGAAATCCTCAGCCAGTACCGACGAACACACGCTGAAAGCCAGCTCCCAAACGGGACCACACCCACCCAGTGAAGCCATACTCCATTTCTCGGACCAGCCCAAGTTCTGGTGTCCGACGAAGGCCGACGACGCCCCCACTCTGGAGGTGAAGTTTCTCGAGAACAGGGTGGTTACGGCAGTGGAGCTGCGGGGAGACCCTGACGGCGGTGGCCATATTGAGCACGCTCAGATCAACTACAAGAAGCTGGTGTTTGCCGAAAACTGCATCGCCCCATCTGTAAGTGTACCCCTAGGGCTACATACGTACACTGTTTGGATTTGGGGGGCCCATATATAGTCGCGGTACATAAAATTGGCAGATTTTGACATTCTGTGGAAAGACATTTTACAGGTGTAGACATGGTGCAGGTATATACTGCTGTAGACACGGTGCAGGTATATACTGCTGTAGACACGGTGCAGGTATATACTGCTGTAGACACGGTGCAGGTATATACTGCTGTAGACACGGTGCAGGTATATACTGCTGTAGACACGGTGCAGGTATATACTGCTGTAGACACGGTGCAGGTATATACTGCTGTAGACACGGTGCAGGTATATACTGCTGTAGACACGGTGCAGGTATATACTGCTGTAGACACGGTGCAGGTATATACTGCTGTAGACACGGTGCAGGTATATACTGCTGTAGACACGGTGCAGGTATATACTGCTGTAGACACGGTGCAGGTATATACTGCTGTAGACACGGTGCAGGTATATACTGCTGTAGACACGGTGCAGGTATATACTGCTGTAGACACGGTGCAGGTATATACTGCTGTAGACACGGTGCAGGTATATACTGCTGTAGACACAACCATTGTGACCCCATGCCCGTACTCCAGGCTGTTTTTCTTCAACCTGTGAACCTTCAGAGGGTTGTTTCTCTCTCCCCACAGCCCAAGGAGTTGAAGAAAATCCCGATAGAAAGGGGCGGAGCCTGGTACGTGACAATCACACCCCTGGAGTGGGACAAGGGGGCGGAGTTCTGCGTTGCTTTGAGGATACTAGTCTCCGTCCCTCAGGAGAGAGGAAAGCCAAAGACTGGTACGCAAGTTGTATTTTCGTGACACACAGCACAACATGCATATTGGCTGAACATTTTTTGTGGCAATTTTTTGTGGAGCACAATTTTAGCCTGACATTGTATGCTGTTTTCTCCCTCCCTCTCTCCCTCTCTCCCTCTCTCCTCTCTCTCTAGAGGGCCTGAGTTCTATGTCAGTGATGCATTGGAACTACATTTACAAGAATGCTGGCTGGACAATCACACCAGAGCCTGTTGTTGGTATGATGTCATAATTACATCATTGGCATAGTGAATTAACAATGACATCGTCCTCTAGATCCACAAAATGGATATGGAATGCTGAATCTCAGTCGACTGGAAAACATGCTCCGGTGGAGTGGGCGGGGCTCACAGGCACTGACCTTTGACCTTGGAGACGAGCAACATGTGGATGCAATAGAAATTACATGTGAGCATTTGTCATTTGCACCGCTACAGTAAAGATGTTTGGCTTTCTCTTCACTTGCTCGCTAAAAGTATGAGAACTTTAGCTCTCCCACACACACACACACACACACACTGTGTTACGATGTAGTGGTCGTTATTATGTATAGGGCCAAGTGCTTCGATGACAAGCAGATGTACAGACAGCCGTATATGTAGCAGTAGGAATTTTGGCGTTCCTCCTTACAAATTTTTCTTGTCTTGTCTCTCCACTCGACTGTAGGTGTGCCAGGGACGAAGCCGATCCATAGGTTCAGAGTAGAACTGACCACAAAGTGGCTGTCGCAGAGTCTGAGTCCATTCACCACCCCCTGGCCGACCAGGCAGGACCTCTCTCCTCCTCTCGTGGTGTCCAACCTTCAGCTGTGCCCTCCTTCCACTGACTTCAGAGCCCAGATCCAGCTCTACGGCAACACACACGGTGTTTAACCCCTCTCTTGGGCCCTGGCTTCCAGTTTAACCCCTTTACTTCTTCTACTTTAACCCCTTGATCAATATCTTCTAGTTTAACCCCTCAATCCATTTCAACTTCTGCCATAATCCCGTATCTCTTCCAACTTCTTTATGGTTAACCCCTTTAATTAACCCATTGTGATCTAACCCCTTTGTGGCCTCAGAGAAGAGCGTGTTTGCTGAGGAAGGAGACATCCTTCAGCTCCGTTTTGTCAACTACACCAAACAGATTCAGTTTGTCTATCTCTTCTACCTTGAGGAGACTGGTGAGTGCTCTACTGACAGTAGATGGTAGTGTTACTCTCTCTCTCTCTCTCTCTCTCTCTCTCTCTCTCTCTCTCTCTCTACTCAATGACAGGGAAGATAGAGATAGTCTTTGCTGATGTTGTTCAGGCTAAAAATGGACTCAAAAAACTGATAAGAGTTTACATACCAGAAGGCAAGTCATTCCACCTTCTCTCTCCTCTAAAGCCCTCCCTCCCGCCCTCTCTCCCCTCCCTCCCGCCCTCTCTCCCTCTCTCTCCTCCAGGATATGATCCGGTACCTAAGAGGCTGAAAGACCAGTACAGAGTGATAGTTAGCCCCAAGAAGATTTATTTAGAGCCATTCAAACAATTGGGACTACACGAGTATCTCGGAGTTCGCGCTTACAACCCTTGCTACATCGGTCGTCGGGTGAGTCCCATTCCCAATCCCCATACCGTCAGATTCCCATTCCTAAACTCTCATTCTCCCAGACCGACATAGGGAAGGAGGAACAGTGGTATGAGTATAAGTTTGAGGTGACAGTGAGGAAAGGAGCTGGCGGCCATCGCTGACTGACTGCTGCAGGCAGAGGGGGGGGGGAGAGATTTCACACACTGCCTTGCAAAACATGACGCTCAGCCTAATTGTGAAAATGGAGCTGAGCTGATGCAGCACGGCACACAGCTACTCTGGAATAGTGTAGAGTTAGTGATATGATCCCCTTCAGAAAACAGACTTCCTCCGTAGCATTGCAGACTTGATGAAGTTCAAAATGTTACCAGCATTTGCAACGATCGTGCTGCCAGCATACCGTATGTATGCGGATCACACACTGCACAGAGTGCTCTATGTGGATATAATCGTTCACACTGCGCAGAGTGCTCTATGTGGATATAATCGTTCACACTGCGCAGAGTGCTCTATGTGGATATAATCGTTCACACTGCGCAGAGTGCTCTATGTGGATATAATCGTTCACACTGCGCAGAGTGCTCTATGTGGATATAATCATGTACACACTGTGATCTATGTCATTGTGTGTGGAAACACACATTACATTCACGTTTTGTTGGGTCTTCAATCGATTGCCACATTATGATACACAGTGCATGAAGACATAAATTACAATAGCAATAATAATGAAGATGACGTGATGAGCCAGTCTGTGGTGTGTCTGTGTGCATGAGACAATGTGTTCTGTGGGAGCCTGGGTCAAGAGGTGGGAGCTGACTCAGCGTCGACCAGTCCTTGGCGAGACAAGAGAGCAGGGAAGATTGTTAGGAGGTGGCTGGGGGAATCCATGGGGGAATCCATCGAGTCTTGACAGGGAAAGAACTGGTTCAGAGGGGGGAAGTGTGGAAGGAGAGGGGAGTCCGGGGATAAGGAATAGTGGGGAGGGAGGAACGTGGGGGTTGGGTGGTCCTGATCGATTTGAGTCATGCTGGGCCAGCTCTCCTTGCCTTGTGTGAGATACTCAGCAGTCTCTTCTCTTTCAGGAGTGGAGGAGTAGAGGTTTTTGAAGCTGGGTAGTTGCTCTACGATTCTGTCGGGAGAGGGCTTTCGTGGGGTGTCGTCACAACTGCTGCGAGTTGGCTCCTGTGATTGTCGTTCTCCAGAGTCTGGGACAGAGTTGACTCTCTTAGCTTTTGCTCTGCTTTCTCCCCTCCCTGACTTCCCCCCTCCTCCTCCCCCTCCTCCTCCTCCTCCCCCTCCTCCTCCTCTGCTGGTTTGATATCTCGACTGATGCGCATCGTCGTGGTTGCTGGAAGAAGAAGCCTGGGAGTGGTTGGGTTGGGAAGTTTGGTAAGTTCGAGAGCTATTCGATCCTCCTCCTCCAGCTCTTTTCCCTCGATAGTACTTCTGATTGCTGCCTCCCTTGTTGAGGTTCTGCCTCGTGTTCTTTGGCGCCATCTCGCTGGTCGCCGACTCACTTTCTTCACTCTTCACCACAGGCGCCGACGTTGCACCAACCTCTTTTCCTTCTCTCTCGCTTGTCTCGGCGGTAGTTTTTGAAACAGCCGGCACTTCTTTCCCCCCTCTTCCTCTATTTGGTCTCCCTCCTCTCCCTCCCTTTCCTCCCCCTCCACTTGCTTTATTGCCACCCGACAAACTGCCTTTGCTCCCTGCAACTTTAACCCCTTCATCACCAGATTTTGCACTCTTCTTGACAGCTTCGTCGCTGGTTTTTCTACCTCCACTTTCCTTCTCAGTACCAGACAATGCAGTATGGGATTGAGATCGAACTGTGGACGAGTCCTGGACTCGGGACTGATCGGTCTGGACTCGGGACTGAGTGGTCTGAACTCGAGACTGATCAGACTGAACTCGGGACTGAGTTGTCTGAACTCGAGACTGATCGGTCTGGACTCGAGACTGAGTGGTCTGAACTCGAGACTGAGTGGTCTGGACTTGGGACTGGCTTGTGGGTGTGGCCACAGACAAATTGTTTGGTGGAGTCTTTGACTGCACTGAAGAAGTTGTTGGGGTGTCGGCTGGCCAGGAGTGGGTGTGGCTTGCAACTGAAGTCTGAGGGGGCGTGGCAGCCTGCTCAGAAGACGACGAACCATGCCTCCTGTCGTGATGACTGGATTTGTAGCCCCGCCCACCTACTCCATCTCTGTTTCTGCCTCGGTGGTGTCCGGAGCCTTGTCTCCCTCCTTTCCCCTTCCCCGAGTACTGTCGCTGATTAGTGGGCGGGGTCACGGTCACAGACTCCGCCTTCTCCTCCTTTGACTGTTCTTCTCCCGTCTCCTGAGGGAGACTGGTAACTTCAGCCACGCCTTTTCTACGACAAGGGAGACCTGGTCTCAGCCCCCCTTCTTTCAGCTCCCCCGTTGGCTCAGTACCACCTGCTGGCAGCTGTGTGTTTGAAGGAGAGGGGGACCTATGGCGAGAAGGTGACTGGTTTACCAGTAGGTTCATTTCCCCCGCAGATGTTGAGAGTGACAGACTCTCCGTGAAATGAGAAGCGATTTCAGGGCCTTCGATTTCGTCAATGTCAATCTCAGTCTGTATGTCGGCAGAGGGGAACGTAAATGGTGGTTTAGCAGCGGTCACTTGTGGTATCTCTTTGCCGGTAGTGGTCCCGTCCCCTACAACACCACTATCGGTACTGGTGGTATCGACGGTCTGTCCACCAGTTGAGACCTGGTACTCCTCCTGGACCTCCGGAGTCTCAACCAACTGTGGATCATTCTGTGACGATTGGTGATCGTCTGAGCTACTACTGCGCTCATCGAGTCCAACCGGAGGAACCACGTGAGGCAGCATCTGGTGGTGCGGTGGAACGAGGAATGGGAACGGCATGTAGTGAGGGTACCAGGGCATGCCTGGCATGGGGGGGAACACTACCGGTCTGGCGCCAGGCGGCACCATCATTGGGCCCGGAGCCATTTGCGGATAAGGAGGAACCGATGCCTCTTGATGGGGGAGAACCTCTGTATCTTCCTCGTTAGCCTCTCCATCTCCCCCAAGGCTGTCGGCATCTTCATCCTCACCGAGCTCGGCTGATCTCCCGCGAGGAACGGCGGCCATCTTGTTCGGGGGAACGGGTGACGGTGTAAAGTGGGGGAAATAGGCAGGGTAGCGCCCGTGCTCCGCCAGATGATGGGGAGGAAGGTGAGGAGGCCTGTCCGGTTGAGAGTTTGTAAACAGCTGTAGAAAATTCTGTTCGTCGACATTCAGTGGTTTGTGCTGCATGTCTTCCATCAACTCTGCCCTCACTTCCTCTCTCACCTGGTCCCATATCTCCTGTCTCACTTCCTCCTTCACCTCCTCCCTCATCTCACTCCTCACCACCTCTCTCGTCTTCCTCTCTCTCTCCTCCACCATCCTCTGAACACGCTCTCCGAGGCCCTTCGCTAGGTCCAGGGCAGGAGAGGCCAGATCAGGCTCAGCTCTCTCATACAGCCTCAGACACTGTAAGAGAGAGATTCAACATTGTAATATAATAATGACGTGTTTGGAGACAAGCAGTCTTAAATTCTTGACCACCATTCACTCAGAGCACACCCACTCACCTGCTCAGCATACTCAGTGAGGACTCGGATTTGTCCCTGTACATCTCCAGACAAGAGGTACGCCTGAGCCGACACTGCAGGGGGCTTTATATCGTCAGCCAGAAACAGGGGCTGGTTTGTTCCCTGAGGGTCAGTATTGGTCGAGCTCTCTCGGCGAGCCACTCCAGTACACTGCAGTCCCACAGAGACTGTCGCAGGTCGGACGTCCACCTCCTTGTCCTTCTTGAGAACTGGGGAGGGGTACGGAGAGGTCTGTACCTCTTTTGACTCCGTCTCAACCTCTAGTGGGTGTGGTTGGTGGGCGGGGAACGGTTGATGGGGTGGGGCCAGGAAGAAAGGGAACATGTGTTGTATGGAGACGGGACCCCCAGGAGGGGCGGGGCCACCGGGGGGCGGGATCCCCGGGAAATGAGGGGGTCTCATGACGATCCCTTGATCCGAGGGGGTCGGAATTCCAAAGGGGAACATGTAACGAGGGGGCATGTGCCCAGGAGGGGGTGACGATTGTTGGGGGGGCAGAGGGTGCGGATTTGGGTGTGGCTCCTCTTCGCCTACCATTGGCCACGCCTCCTCGGGCTGTGAGGATCGTAGGTGGTTTATCTGGGAGTCAAAATAGGGGCTTTCTCTTCCTTCCTCCCCCCCACGTCTCCCCATCTGCTGTGCCGTAAGATGAGGGTGGGGAACTGGTGCATGCATCACTGGTTCAGATACCACTCCACCCACAGTCTGAGGTCCTGTCTGCTGGTTTGGAATCTGGACAGAGTTTGGCTGGTTTGGAATCTGCACCAAGCCTGGCTGGTTTGGAACAGGGACCGAGCCTGACTGGCTTGGAATGGGGACTGGGCCCAGCTGGTTTGGAATGGGGGCTTGTCCTTCGGGGAGGTAAACGTAGCGTCCCATAGGGTGAGGTAAGAAGTAAGGCACTGGAGGAGGTTTGGGATTGGCTGTCTGGGTTGCTCCATTCACACACTCCTCACTGATGATCTTTGTAGTGGCAGCTGAGTCGTCTGGAGAGGCTCTGGGGCCTGTGGGGTTGGCGGGAGGGAAGGAGGCAGAGTGGACGACAACTCTTCCCTCGTTGGAGTAACCCCCGGGGAGCTGAGGGGGGGCCGAGGTGGCGGGAGGGGAGGGAGGAAATTTCCGGTCCCCTGGGTTTCGAACATCGACTGCTGCAGGCCTCCCGGGAAGGTTGGCCGGTTTGTCTGCCTCACTCACCTGCAGATATCAGAGAACAAGCAATTGGCAAGCAATGCATGGCTACCAATGGATCAATTTCTCACACAAAAACACAAATATGTACATTCACATCATGTTCCTCATACTTGGCTTAATATGCTGCAATCGTTACATCTCACCTTCGGAGGTTTGGGCACCGGCTCGTGTTCTCTGCCGACAGAGAAACCAGGAGGTGTACCGCCCTGAATCCCGGCTCCGCCCCCTGACCTACGCCGACCTTGTGTTTCCATATCAACGACCTCTCCCGATCTCCAAACCCCTTGTTGTGAAGCCACGCCCACTTCTCCTTTGCCGGTGACCGGAACTTGAGAAGCTGGTGTGCTCCCTGACGATGCTGTCAGTGGTTTATTGAGGGGCTTGCCTGACAAGGTTTTGGTCCCGTTGGTCGACTTTGGGATAGATTGGTAGGCCTTTTGCACGGAGTGGTTCTGCTCAGTGGTGCCAGGGGGTGGGGTGGAGGGGGAGGGAATGTGTGCGGCGGTGGTGGCAATGGGGAGAAGGTTGGGGGGGAGAGGGAGAAGGGAGGAGGTGGGTGGAGTCTCATCTGAGGTCCCTCTCCCTCCTCGAGGAAAGCCAGGCTGAATTCTCTGGTGGACTTTGGACCACGCATGAGGCGGTCCTCCACTTCGCCTTCCTACACAGACACAGATCAGAATATGACAGAGAACTTGTTACAGATGATGACCAATGACACCTCTGTACGTGTACCATGCATTTTCAAAAAGCACGAATTAAGTACTCACACGGAGATGTGTATAGGGAGGTGCTGGGTAATGTGTGAGACAAGTGTGCACATGAAAGAGAGAGAGAGAGAGAGAGACGGGCTAACCAGTGGAGGCAGCTGAAGAGAGAGAGTTGCTTGGAACTGTGATATCTTTGCACGGAATCTCCCACCTGCACAGACAAAACTGCAGTCTTCTCTACTCCATACTAATGTGTACTTGTCGCATTTCTTGTTCTACAAACCAATGCATGTAGAAGAAGGCCGAAATGCTTGTATCATTATTGGCATGAATATTAGCGTGACTCACTGCTCTCCAGCTTCAAATATATACACCTGCAGGGAAGAAACAGTGATGCGGGATCATGTGAGAGTCATGTGACACACCAGGTGACACCCGTTGGGCGTGATGCTGGAGGTGATCTCTCCGTTGTAGAGTTGAGAGTCGCCTGGTACCGGGACCAGACACTTGTCTCCAATCTGGAACTGAATGGCGGCAGCCACGTCTCGATCCTGTCTCTCTATACCTGGAGACAGAGATTTAACTCCTTTATCACAGGCAAGTTATTAACCCCTAACCCCCATCTTACTGATTTAACCTCTTTTTCTCAGTCTAAGTAATCTTTAGTTTTACCGTTCTATATCAGTCTACTGATTTATGTTTCACCCCTCTCTCCTAGAGCTGTGCTTAAAGTCTTTCACAATTTAACCCTTCTCTGACTGATTATATAGTGATTAACTTAACCCCTCACAATCTCTCTCCCTCTGGTAGACGTGAAGTGATGTGTTTGAGAAGCAGTTAGGAGCCATGCCCTCCAGGACACCAAGGGGGTAGGTCTTGCTCAGGAAGGTGAGGTGCTTGTCTCCCTTGTCTCCTTCCATTGCTAGTTTTTGAACATCTGCATCGGTGATATTCCGCAGTCTCTGCTTAGTTGCTTGGCTGAGGGTTTCCTCAAATACCTTCTCATAGAGCAGGGAATACACAACCGCTGCAAGTACATAAGGTTGAGAAGAGAGAATAACTATGAACAAACGGTCGGAGAGAGAGAGAGAGAGAGAGAGAGAGAGAGAAGAAGGGAAGGAAATAGAACAAAAGATGAAGAGAAGACAAAAGAAGATGCAAGGAAAACAAATAACTCAGGAGAAGAACATATAAAATGGAGGATGAGCAAGGCAGGAAAGATGGCACACTCACACTGACAGAAGGCCAGGTTTCCTTTGCTCTTCCTAAGGTAGACACTGTCGTAATGGTTCCCATCAGTATAGGCCAGATATATCTGGAGGAAAGACCCCTCACTAGGATCATGTGTGAGGATCTATTGCTTCAGGCTCTCCCCTTACACCACCTCCAACTATACTGTTGTTGTACTAACTTCTCAGAACGTATGAATCACTATGAGGTTAAGGTTTCACTGGTCTACCTACACTCCCTTACAACACTAATTGCAGTGGAGTGTGTTTCCCCTGCTAATTCTAGGTCTTGTTAGTGCAAATACAAGGGCCCTGGGGTGTTATTATTCATAGGTGATACTAATCAGGGGTAAATAACTAAAGTCTGTGCTAATGTAGTGTTTTTCAGGGCCTGTTGCTTAATAAGGGCATCAATTCAGGAGTGATGTAAAAAAGGCTAATAATTGAGGGGCCTATAGCTGAATGAGGGGTCCACTGCTAATAATTGAAGGGGGTCTGGCAATAATAAAGGTCGACCCTTACGGGATCAATGAGCTCCTCTGTCCGTCTGCCGGCAGCCTCGTCCTCGGGGGTCAGGAATATCTGCTCCTGGACCTGGTTCACCTGCTGGTTGTAGACCACAATGGAACGCCGGTACATCTTAGAGAAGACCACCAGCTCCACCTCCCCTCCCCACAGCTGCCCGATCCGCAGTCGCCTCAGGTACTCATCAAGTTTCACCGTCAGGAACTGAGGAGAGAGGGTTAAGTTTTCGATAAAGATGGTAAAGGTCCTGGAGTTCGTACATACCTCCTTGAAGTCATCTCTATGTCGAGAGATGTAGTCTGCACACTGGAGTCTCACGTGATGGTGGTAAGACTGACTCAGCAGTACCTGAGAGAGGCAGAGAGAGAGAGAGAGATAGGCGGGAAGAGTCAGCCGCGCAGTCGAAGTCACGGAGGGCCCGCCCACACACACACACACACACACGCGACTACCTCAATGGACATGTGCTAGGGGTTCCTCTACCTGCTCAGCGACGGCTCTGAAGAGACAAGAGCCGTCCTTGGCGATCGCCTTCCGACAGAGGTTCTTGGAGCCTAGAAACTTGTCCAAAGTCACTTGGAAATGGCTGTAGGTCTTCGGTTTGGGTCCTTTACGCCCCATATTTCCAGACTCCCTCGCTGGACCGTCCAAATCGCGGCGCGGAGCCGTCCACACACCTGAAGAAACCTAAAGAGCCAGTGAACTCCTCTGCCTACTACTAACGCATCTCCCTTCTTAGCCTCAGTGAAGGCGGCTCCAGCAGTGTGGGAACGGGGTCCGTAACTTGCAATATACGGACATGTCCGGAGGGAAATTCCCCGGGAAACCGTGCCGAATGCGCATGCGTAATACTGTGGGCGGAACTGTTTGAAGACGAGCGTGTACGTGGTGGTTAAAAAACGACCAGAGAACTGCTGAAACGAGTGTGTCAAGGAAAATGTCTGTCGCAGAACCAGAAGAAAGGGAGGTGGTCATCTCTGGCCAGGATCGAAAGCTAAACTCGCCTGAAGACGGTACGTGTACCTGCACACGTGCCAACATAGCTTTTTCTCTCTGTCTTCTCCCTAGTCGAGGACACGGTGCGGGCCATAAACGAGGATGAGGGGCTAACGACTCTGAGACTCAGCGGGAACAGTATGGGGGTCCAGGCGGCGCAGGCAATAGCTGGAGCCCTATCCTCCAGACCGTTATTCCGCAGAGCTCTCTGGAAGGACATGTTTGTTGGCCGATTGAAGTCAGAAATACCTCCAGCTCTGGTGAAAAGAGAACCTCTCTCTTACCTCTCTCTCTCTCTATTTAATGCAGAAAGCATAGGTTTATGCGCACACTGGTATAGACAGCGGGTATTGAGATCATGTGGTACTAGTTTCCTGTCATTAATATCCATCCCCCAGACCACTCTAAGTGATGCAGTGATGGCAGCGAGAGCCCATCTAGTGGAGCTGGACCTCAGCGACAATGCCTTTGGTCCGGCAGGGATTGAGGCCATCTTCCAGCTGCTTTCCAACCCCGCCTGCTTCTCCCTCAGGATACTCAAACTGAACAATACTGGGATGGGTCCTCAGGGTGGCGAGGTGAGGGAATATCTCTCTCCTAGGTTCCCCGTGGGATAATTTTCAAATTCTCAGCCCTGTGTTTCTCTTTCTAGCTTCTTTGTGTATTCTGTGGTACTGTACACATGGTAGTAGTGGGTAACTGTCGAGGGAGATAGCTTTCATTCATGAATTTCACTTCTTTTGAAGAACCACACATGAAAGTGTTGCTGCAAACTTTCGTGGTCAGGGTGACAAGCAGCAATCAATAAAAGTCACATAATAATTTAGCATTTGTTGTGTTAGCAATTTGCAGGGGTTTTGTAAGTCCTTTTAATGCACTAAAGTGCAAACCCTCGGCGAACTACGTACGCATGTGCGGTGCCGCTAATGGGCTAGGTCAACTATTAGCGTTTACCCGTGGTCTCCCGCTAGTAGGCCGCGGAGAGTCTGACACGGGCTAGCTACGGTATTAGATAGCATTCGGGAGTCGATACACGCACCTTCATGGTGGCTTCTTGTGCCTCCGTTGATCACGTCTGGTATACGCATGCGCACTGCTTATTGATGGGTTGGCCCACGCAACGCGGTCCACGACTGTGCCAGTTTGTCGCTCTCGAACGCAGTCGTTTCAGGAAAATTTTATTTTTCAGGTTCATGTAGTACTGAAGCCGCTGGTATCGCTAATGGGCCGCCTCGTAGCCTGTAGTTCCAGAATAAGCGTCGACACACACACACACACACACAGGCAGACAGACAAACCAACTACTGTAACCCTCGCTGCGCATGCGCGCCGAGGGTTAATAACTCCAATGAGCTCACTCTTGCACACCAAGTCTCTGTCATTTTCAGAATAAGGCATACAGTATTTACATGGCAACTGGATAGTTCATGGAAGCAACGTAGCCTTGCATTCGCCTGCTGAAAGGTCACTGAATATAATTCCACTGTCTCAGCTGTTGGCGGAAGCTCTGGGCCAGTGTCACAGTGAGGCCAGCCGACAGGGAGGGAGACTACAGCTGGAGGTGTTTGTTGTCGGGCGGAGTCGACTGGAGAACCCGGGAGCCTCCGCCCTGGCCGAGGTGTTTGCCGAGCTGGGCTCACTTCGAGAGGTGGCCATGCCTCAGAACGGCATCAGCAAAGACGGAATATCGGCTCTGGCCTCTGCCTTTGCCAAGAACACTGAACTGAGGGTGAGTTAGTCTCTGCGGGACTTTACAAAGAGGAAGGGAAACGCATTGTGTGTGAGTGTATTATTAAGCTTACTTGAAACTTTAAACTCTTTATCGAGAGCTCAACCCTTAATTGAACCCCAACCCTGTCATCATGACTATAACGATCTCGTCCACTTGCAGAGTATTGATCTCAACGATAACACCTTCACTGAGGAGGGGGCGGCTGCCATGGCAACGGTTCTCCCGTCGCTGCAGGAATTACGAGTCATCAATTTCGGAGACTGTCTCTTGAGATCGGGAGGAGCCCGAGCCGTTGCTGGAGCCATCGCTGACGGACACCAGAAATTAGAGGTGATGTCATGTTTTCCTGAATACAGTGGAACCTCTGAATGATGGACTAGTTGGGATCGGGCATTCCTCCTTTATATGGAAGTTACCTCTCTTCAGAGATTAAAAATGTGCTAGGATGATGGAAAAGTAGACATCAAAGTGTCTCCTTGTTTATTTTCTTTTTTAAGTGTTGTTTATTGGAGGCTCTACTGTAAATGCAAGCATCTTGTCTCTCTTCCTTCCTCTCTCTATTACTCACAGGAGGTACATATCGGGTTCAATTCGATGGACGCATCATCAGCTGTGGCAGTGGTGGAGGCTCTGGCAAACAAGAAGGAACTGAAGAAAATCGACTTCAATGGTAATATTTTGAACCTTTGTCTTAGGTACAACCTTGCATACATCAATAGTAGTATATACACAATACTGTAGCTACTACTACAGTCTATGTGTATGTAGAAAGTGAGAGCTACGTTCTCTGTGATTTTGCAGGGAACTGTTTTGGAGAGGAGGGGTGTGAGACAGTGAGAGAGTGTCTGGAGGCTAAAGGTCTCGGAGACTGTCTTGACTCACTCAGTGATGATGAGGGAGAGGAAGGAGATGATGATGAGGGAAAGGGCGAAGGACGATGAGAAGGAAGGGGAGGAAGAGGAGGAAGAAGAGGGGGAGGGAAAGGGAGAAGAAGGAGAAGGAGAAGAAGAGGGAGAGGGGTCACAGGGAGAGCCAGAGGAGGTGGATAAGTGAGCTCAAGGACTGAAAACGGAATTCCTGACTGCATGTTTGTTGCAGGTGAGCGTTGAGGAGTACCTTAGAGATCCGAGCAGCGAAAACCTGCTGGGACTGGGCGGAGCTCGGGCGGAGCTTGTGGCCGGCACTCTGGGGGTAAGTCAGTGTGTACAGCCCCACTGTATACCATGAACCATAGCTGTGGGGAACTTTAATGATGTAATGGTGCAGGTGTCATTGAGTGGAGAGGAGGCAGGGAGGATGTATGTGAAAATTGCCTCCTGCTATTCTGACAGCATGTCTCCTGAACTGAAGTCGGCCTTGGAGGAAACCATAGGTGAGGGAAACAGAGCCATAGGCACCAGGGAGGGATGGGAGAGTGTGTGTGTGTGTGTGTTTTGAATCGGCTGTGTATAAACAGATGCAGTGGTAGGCCCGGTATGTGAGGCCGGGAAGACTGCTCTTCTACTGAATGAGATCCTGGTTCAAGTTGGTTTGCTCAAGGTAATCACAAACACCTTTGTCATGTGGATTGACTTCATTATCAAATCCCCCTTCCTTACCTGTTAGAGTGAAGATAAAAGTTTTGTTCCGGTAAAGAACATCGAAGGTCCAGTTCTGGCTCTCACTCACATCGTCCGTCAGAACTATTTCCCCAGAAATTGCAGGGATACCCTCATCTCATTCATACAGAAGTGAGCTTCCTCCTCGAGACACCTCTATGATCTGGACACCTTGATGATAGGGGCCCCTCACTAATCAAGACCTCTCTCTTTCCTTGCAGGCCTCATCAAGGTCTAATAGCCACAAGGCCTAAAGTTCTACAAGTCCTCTATGCATCGTAGACCACCCACTAGCCCAATTATTACTCTCTCTCTCTCATTCTGCCACTGGTCATGATGATAATTATTATGCAAGTCCGTAACCCTGCAACACTGCAAATAATGAAAAGCACTAAAGTGCAAACCCTCGGCACACTATATAGAAATGTGGAACCCATATACAAGTGTGGCACCACCACAATTGATGGTCTTGCATCAAAAACAACAGCATGTTATGCACCATTCAAAAAAAATGGCCTGGACACCTTGATGATAGGGGCCCAAAAAATATATAAGGTCGAAAAATTGGCAACCTTTCGTCTCTCTATTAATTTTCGTATTACCCGTGGACAAAAACCTAGTGCAAAAAAAAAATAAAAACCTAAGGTTGAAAGAAAAAAAAAACGGCCAGCCCTTCATCTCTCCAGACAGACGTCTACGGACGCAGTGCTATGCCGAACTGTACGCTGCCCTTTGAGAAACGTGGGTCAGTGGTAGATTTGTGGGTAAGGGGAGGTACCAGAGCTGTTCCCAGCCAATGCTCTGGACCATCTGACATTTTAGTGCGGGATCGAGGATACGAACCCGGCACCTATGGTGTCAGTCCCCACGACTCTAACCACCTAGCCACTCGGGCTGGCCTTGAGATCAAGCCAGTGTAGCGCTGAACCCGTTGGTGTCGCTATTTTACCTGTTTGTTGTGTGTGGTGGCGGACAGACGGCGGACAAACCAAGTACACTGTAACATCGCTGCGCATGCGCGCCGAGGGTTAGAAGCTTGGTCTTCCCGCGATCCCAGCAACGTACGTCACGTACGTATAATACTATCCACGCACGTAATCATAGCTCTGCACGATGACTCTAAATAGAGCCCTCCTTGAATATCGTTAATCATGAGATCGATGATGATATCAAAATGCTGCACAGTTGCGACATGAGAAAGTGGCTGATAATAATGATAATAGTGAGCTAAATATCAAAAGAGGCTAGTTTATTGATGACTTGTGGCATGTGATGCAGTCGTCTCCTCACACCATCAGGAATGGCACTAGTCCTTCCGTACCTGCAGACACACAATGAGAACTAATAACAGGGAAAACACGTATTTCTAGGGAGAGTGAATGTTGAAATGGACTCCATTGATTTTCAACTGGTAGGGATAATTTGAAGATAAACATTTTGGAGAAATGGTACTAACTGTGTCATCTCAGTTTTGCTCTAAGTCAGCATACCGTGTTTCTTGTCCGCTGGCATCGACGTAAGTGACAGTCCCACCAGATGAGGCAGAGGACGCCAGCTTCAGCTGACTACCATCTCCATAGTTGACACACACCTCTCCAGTAGCCATCTGTAGCAGTCAATGCATAATTTTGAGTGCGGCCCATCAAACTTTGTGTTAGCCGCCAAATTGCAGCAAACTTTATCCCTCCAAAGAGTTTCCACATTATGGTAAAAATTGTAATAATAATTATTGTGATTTGGGTGGCGAAAACAACAAAAAGGATATCCACCGAGCCGGGGAAAAAACAATTGCACGACAACCTTATAGCTAGTGTTGTATATATAGTATATACCTGCATGGCCCAGCCAATGTTCTGAACAAAGACAGATTTGAGGATGGCAGTAGGATTGGGGTGTTGGCCAATGGTATCGCTGAGTGCTCGGGGCTTACTCCGTTTTACTCCGATCACTGAGCTCATTGACTTGTCCGAGTGACTCCACCCATTGGGGCGGGGCCTCACAGACTTGTGGGTGGAGTCAAGAGGCGTGCTCTGGTTGGACATCTAAAACAAGAAAATCCGATATTTTGGCAGCCACAAATCTTGCACTCAGCAGGCAATAATGTGCAGTACACAATGAGTCATGGCCCTGCTTGAGACACAACCCACCTACTGTACTGTGGGTGTATACGGTGGTGTTTACAATGAGTCATGGCCCTGCTTGAGACACAACCCACCTACTGTACTGTGGGTGTATACGGTGGTGTTTACAATGAGTCATGGCCCTGCTTGAGACACAACCCACCTACTGTACTGTGGGTGATACGGGTGTGTGTTTACATGAGTCATGGCCCTGCTTGAGACACAACCCACCTACTGTACTGTGGGTGTATCGGTGGTGTTTACTGAGTCATGGCCCTTGAGGACACACCACTACTGTACTGTGTACTGTGTGACAGTGATGACCTGTACATTGATGATGGAGGGAGAGGTTTGACAGACGTCGGTGAGTCCTGATGGACTGGTGTGCTGCTGGTGGGGAGCAATGGAGGAGGTGAGGGGAGGGAGGAAGGACGAGGAAAAGGTGGTGGTCTGTGGCTTGCAAACATCGACTGAGACCGCAGGTCTCCTGTGATTAGGGGATGAAGATAAACATCGTTACTATAGGGGCTCCCCTCTCCATACCTGCCAATGGTGACTGGGAAGAAGGAATCTCCTGGACTCTGTTTCTCTAAGCCGGATATGGCCTGCTCCACACTCCGACATCTCTCCTGACACTGCACACCAACACACACATAAGGACATTAACATCTTGAGAATTTGTCATGAATATACAAACCATGCCCTCAGAAGAGGACAAAGTCTGGTCTCTTTCAAGGAATTTCTTTGACTTTTGTTTTGAAAAATAATCAAACCTTAGTTTTCAAACCAGAAGTCAATATTACTATGTATGTATACAACAGACGACTGGTGTGTAAACGTACCAGGAGCACGTGTTGGTAGAAGGGGGCAATAGTGTCAGGGACCTGACTGACTCCACTCCTCAAGAGTATAGCTGTTCCCCGAGTCCTCGATACACCTCACCTTTGAACCCCCCACATGGATCTTGGCTCCTGATACAATAGACACATTCTATGACACTATAATGTAAAACGGAGGGAGATTTTGCTACTAGGAGATCTGGCACTATTACAGACGTATATAATATGCACTCTATTTGGACGAAGGGAGAGAGACCCACCGGAGTAGAAACAGGCCTCAAAGTCAGGGCTCGGTGCATTCTCCATCATCATACACTTGGCTCGCTCAGAGTAGAGGGTGATCTTGGGAGTCTTTGAGCGGACGAGGGAGACAAAGTGAGCCGCGTACTGGTACTTCTTCCAGTAGCGGGGAGGGAGGTCGTGGTAGGTGTGGCTGGCGTGGAGACAGAACCCTTCGTGCTCCTCTGACGGCTTGTGGAGACTGCGGGACGAGTGGAGCGGCTTCAGTATCTCCACCTGATGTGACGTTGGGTGCGTGTGTATTGAAATGGACATGTCGACTTGAAAAGACTATGATCTCTGCTGCATGATACTGTGTTTTAGCGACAATTCAAGAGTTAGTTCTATTGTTTTGGTGGGGCAAATATAAATACATTTATTGTGGAAAATGCACTTTCTATGGCAGGGCATAGGCTCATGACAAGATAAGCAGATGTCAGAGTGGCTTACGTCCATTCCATTCTGAGAGATCTGAAGAATCTCTCCCGATACAGTCGAGGAAGGAGTCTGACTATCGTGGGGTTTCCTGCCAGTGAAATGGAGGACCACCTTCCGTTCCATCTGTGATGGACACCTGCAGTAACAGCCGCAGAGAGAAAAAACAAACAATAAATTCGCAAATTGCGCACGAATGGTGTCGGCCAGCATGCATGGCATCCAAAAAAATACTTTTGCCAATTTATCCAAACAGTGGAGTCTTGCCTAAAGAAACATGTGTTAAAAATACTCTATTATAATTATGACTGTTTCGAGTGTGACATAAAACTTACCGTGGCTGTCCGAGTGCTCTGACGAATTGGGCGGAGTCGGGCGGCATTGAGGGGCGGAGTCAGCTCACTCAGGGAATTCCCCTGCTCCCCGTCTTTCTCTCCCCCTGCTGTCCCATATTCTGAGACGTGTTTGTCCGATCCTTGAATGGGATACCACCACCAGTGGAACCCCTAGTTTTCAAGGGGGCCGAATTTTCTCCACCATTTTGCCCCCCTCCACCTCTCATTGATCTGTTTTCTTTATTACTGCCTCCAGAAATCCTCCCCTCATTCCAGTGGTTAACACGCGTGCTAGAATTATAAGCGCGCGTGTTAGCCATGTTCTCAGTGCTAGAGTGCAGTGGAGAGCGACGAGAAGAGAGGGTGTGAGGCTGCTGTGAGTAATTGGTGGGTGTGGCTTCGGATTTGGGACGAATAGAGTCGACACTGCGGCTCCGTCTGTGAGTTGAGAGAGCGGAGAGAGGGTGTGAGGAAGTGGTGAGTGTGGAGGGAGGGTGTGAGGCAGGGAGTCCGCGAGGTCTGATTGTTGCTCTCAGTGGACCTCTGGTGCTGGCGGTGAGGGGTGAGGAGTGCGGGGTGTGAGGGGAGGAGGTGGAGGTCATGGTGGCGTGTCCGCTGTCCAGGGAACCCAGGGAGGCAGGCGCTGTAATTGGTGGGCGTGGCTGGCTCATGAAGGGATGATTGGATATCTGGGAGAGCGTCAATCTCTGAGAAGGATTCTGTGGAGAGAAACACGTCGATCATATCCATTGAATGATGGCTCTTACCTTCTTCAGTAGACTAGAGATAAGGTCCTGTGCTTCAACTGACAGATGTCTGCAGGCAAAGAATGGTATATGATATAGAGAGAGGAGAGAGGGAGAAAGAGGCAAGACCTTGGCATATGAAAATCTCCAGTAACTACTCGGTTTAGGGTACCCTTCACACCATCTGTCTGTAGAGAGAGATATACGTACGCACAGAGTTAATTATTGCAGAGATAATTGAGGGTTTTACTCACATCAAACGGAGGCTGGCCGACTAGTAGAGTATAGAGCATGCAGCCCAGAGACCACACGTCGCACTCCAGTCCATGTGCTTGTCGACTCGCAACCTCACTATGTGGCGGAAGGGGGGAGGGGAGGAAGGGAGGGGGAGGGAAGAAGAGGGGGAGGGAGGGAGGAAGAGAAAGGGAGGAAGAGGGAGAGAGAGGGAGGAAGAGGGGGAGGCAGAAACATAGTAAATACTGACACATGTTGACTGATTCTTCCAGAGATTAGTTTATCAGTGGCCAAGAGATAACGATATTCACACAACATTACAGCCCCAGAGGTTCTTACGGAGCAATGTAGTTTGGAGTCCCACACATGGTGTAGTGTTTCTCCCCGGGGCCTTTCAGCTGCGTGGCCAGCCCGAAATCAGAGATTTTCTAGCGGAAGAGAGCGAGAGACGTGTGAGGTGAGGGAAAAGAGGGAGAGAAAGGGGCTCACGGCATCCATGCTGGAGGTGAGAAGAAGATTAGAGAGCGAGAGATCTCGATGGAGGATGTTGTGAGAGTGAAGATAGAGCAGGCCCTGCACCACTTGTGAGAACACACAGCGAGCTGTAGAAGGCATTAAATCTTGCATAACTTCGTAAGGAGGAGAAAGGGAATTAAAAAAAGGATTAATGCCCTTACCACCCTGGCTGCTAGCCTATATACACACACACACACCTTCTTCTTCGGTGAGTCTGCGACCAGAGGAACGGAGGAAACGGTTGAGCTCTCCATTCTGGCAGACCTCCAGGACCAGGTACACGTAGTGGTTGTCCTCAAAGTAGTTAAAGAGCTCCAGAATGGCTGGGTGCTTCAGCCGGCTCTGTATCTCCACCTCGTTCCTCACCCGAGCCACCATACTCCCTGCCTGCATCAGCTTCTTGTCAATCTGGGGAGAGAGAAAAGCAATGGGTGAGCGAAAATGTAGGGATTATGTGTTAGCCAATTGTTACATTTTCACAACAAGTTTGCCGAAGTAACCACTTTGGCTATGATGTATACGGCAGTATTTATGCACATGCTCACCAGCTTTTACTGACACATTGGCCAAGGATTATATCCTGTATCATGGAGGTATATAGACGTAGCTTACCATCTTTATGGCAACTTCTTGTCCATTTTTCTTGCTGCGAGCTCTGTACACACAGGCAAACCCTCCCTTTCCTAGGAGGTCCAACACGTCATAGTCCTGCACAGAGAACACGAGGCCTATAAAGGGTTCTCACACCTATTTCCCGACACCACTTGTACCTCTATCTTGTCGCCGAACGTTGAGCTCATTTCTCGTGTGTTCCTCTCATTACAACTCACACTGAGACGCTTCTCTCTCACGAATAGGCTCTCCTGGCGATACTTTCAAACGGGGGTGGGCGTCGGGGGTGCTAGAAGGGCGAGAAGTAACAGCTGACTTCAACGGCATTCATTCGACCAATCGCCATTTTGTCATCCCGCCTCTTTTTGAACTGGGATTCATTGCGCATGCGCGCGGAGTTGCCCCCCTGATGAAAACCACACGTGTCTCCGATCTTATCGCGAGGCCGCCGGCAGGCGAACTCGGAAAAGGGAAAACGCTGCTACTCTATCTAAAGCCTATACAGTGCGCGTTCCGTTTTCTGGAATAGATACGTATGTGCGGACCAGATTTGTAGCGCAGTTTTGTCGTCAGTCGTCCTCTGTTGTCGTTTCTTGCAGAGAGCGGGAAGACCAATAAGGGCACTGTGGTTGCTGGAGAGCCTGAGCCATGTCAGTGGTGGGTTTCGACATCGGGGCCCAGGCCTGCTACGTCGCCGTGGCGCGGCACGGAGGTGTGGAGATGGCAAACAACGAATACAGCGACAGAGCCTCACCGTAAGCTCCAAAAATCAAAGAGAGAGAGAGATTGTGTGTATGTTACAGAAATTGAAATGTGAAATGTTTCTCTCCAGGACTATAGTAGGTCTAGGGGAGAAGCGACGGGAGATGGGCACCTCAGCTCGTAACCAGCTGGTCATGAACCCCAAAAGTACCATCTGGGGTTTCAAGCATCTGATTGGTCGATCGTTCTCTGATCCATTCATCAAACGAGAGAGGCAGGGCCTTCCCTATGACGTCGTGGAGACTGGCAGAGATGGACTCGGGATCAAGGTGGGTGCCATCGATAATTTGGAAACACCGCAACTAACATTCAGTGTTGCCTTTGTGAATTCACCCCAACCCCCTCCCCCAAATGTCATGTTTGCCAGCCCACAAGTCCTAATTTCTCTACGGTGTTCTCCTGCATCAGGTACCCGGTGGAGAAGCTCCCCAGACCTACTCTCCAGAGCAAGTCATGGCCATGTTCCTCACATACCTCAAGAAAGTAGCCGAGAGCTCCCTGGGGAAGCCAGTCGTAGACTGCGTCATTTCTGTGAGACCACACCCATTGCCACGCCCACCTCTGTTGAGGATCATCTCTTCTCTCCACAGGTTCCGTCGTTCTACACCGACAGACAGAGAAGAGCTCTGTTGGACGCTAGCACCATTGCCGGCCTCACCTGTCTCCGACTTATGAATGACACCAATGCTGGTATCGGAGGCTCTCATTGTTCTTTCTTTCCTTAAACTCTAAGTAGTCAGGACCTTTCTCTCTCTGTCTCCATTAGTAAATGACCCAGTTCACTGTCTCCCCATATCTCAGTAGTCAATGACCTGTTCCCTCTCTCCACTATCTCCAGTAGTCAATGACCTGTTCCCTCTCTCCACTATCTCCAGTAGTCAATGACCTGTTCCCTCTCTCCACTATCTCCAGTTGCCCTGGCCTATGGAATCTACAAGCAGGATCTACCCGCTGAAAACGAGAAACCCAGAAATGTGGCGTTTGTCGACGCTGGCCACACCTCCTTGCAGGTCGCCATTTGCTCCTTCCAGAAAGGCAAACTCAAGGTACAATGCAACACCATCATCTTTCACCTCATCATCCACTGAAGGTCAAGAGGGTCACTGCTCACATTTTGTACTTCATTTCTTAATGCTACTATATAGGCCATTTGTTTTAGTATCCCTCGTTAACCTAGTCTTTTGTTACATCATTCTTTGATGTGGTATATACAGGTGTTGTCCAAGGCATTTGACCCGGAGCTAGGAGGCAGGGATTTCACACAGCGACTCGTGACCCACTTCAAACAAGATTTCAGCAAACGCTACAAGCTGAGCAGCCTCGACAAGCCACGCCCCACGCTGCGGCTGTTTAACGAGTGCGAGAAACTGAAGAAGAACTTGAGTGCCAACACCACCTCCATTCCCATCAACATCGACTGCCTGGCGGAGGACAAGGACGTCTCCGGACACATGAAGAGGTCACTCAGTCACATGCACTCAGTCAGGCGTTGAACATTATTGTATTGTACTCCATCGAGAGTATTATACTAAGATTCCACAAACATGAGAAAACAAGTGTGCAGTACTTTTTAGTACTATCAAGTCAGCTCGGTATGTTTGAGAGACTGCCTTCTGGTGTCTAATGCACTTAGATTCCATGGACCCTTTGTCTATTACTATTTCTTGATCTTCTCACTCAATCCTCTGTTTTCCTCCCTACTGTAGGGAACAGTTTGTGGAGATGTGTGAAGATCTGCTCAAGAGAGTTAGAGCACCACTTGAAGACGCCCTGGCCAAATCAGGTGAGGAGATAGACACTGTTTTCAGTCCCCCTCCTCCATTTCCTGATATATATACTCCCTGCTAGGTCTGAAGGTCGAGGATATAGAGGCTGTGGAGGTTGTGGGGGGAAGCTGCAGAGTCCCTGCTATCAAGGACATAATTTCCGACGTGTTCAAAAGGGATTTGAGTACAACTCTCAACATGGACGAGGCGGTGGCTAGAGGATGCGCTCTGCAGGTATGTGTGTGAATGTGTGGGGGGTGGGGTGAGTTTTTAAATTAAAAAGTGTCTTATTCTTAGTATATTCTTAGTATACTACTTCATGAGGCTGGTTTGTTTTATACAAATTGGTGAATATTTCTTAACCTATAACAAAGTTTCATTTTTAAAGCGAATGTGAAGGTTGCATAAGTTTTGATGGTGTGTGTTTGTTGCTGCAGTGTGCGATGTTGTCTCCCACGTTCAAAGTGAGGGATTTCAGTATCGTAGACATCCAACCCTACCCCATACGACTGCAGTGGCAGACCATCATGGAGGGAGAGGATGGGTGAGTGAGAGTGCTATGTACATACTTTTGAGACTATAGCTGGGCATTGTGATGCGACAATTTGTATGGGAAGATAGTATTCCGTATGTGCAGCTGTGTTATCCATAGTTAGAGCATTCGATATCAGCTGTAGGTACAGTGAGAACACACGCATCGATTACACTCCCTCCCTCCCTCCCTCCCTCCTCCTCCTTAGGGAAATGGTGGTCTTCAAAGAAGGGGACCAGATATACCACTCAAAGATTCTATCTTTCTATCGCAAGTCGTCGTTTGAGCTCCGAGCATCCTACCAGTTGCCGTCCCTCCTCCCTTACCCCTCCCCCCATGTCGGAACCTTCTCAGTGAAGGATGTAAAACCCACAGAGTCCGGGGAAGCCAGCAAGATAAAGGTCAAAGTGCGGTTGAGTATCCACGGGATATTCTTTGTGAAGTCGGCATCACTGATAGAGAAGCTGCCGGCTGGATCAGAGGAGGCCATGGAGACTGACAAACCAGCCACTGTAGCTGGGAACAGTACAGACAGCAGTGATGTCAGTCAAGGTAAGACTGAGTATTTGGTGTGTGTGTGAGGTAATGATATGTATGTGTGTGTGTCCCAGGGTCAGAAGAGCAGCCACCACCACCAGCAGCAGCTCCTCAGACCAGTCAGGAGGAACAACCGATGGATGCAGCTCCAGGTTGGCAAATGAGAAAAGTGCTCACTTATTGCTTGCCCTGAACTTGAAATGTCCCCGCCCACTCAGTTTAACATTTTAACGGGCAGCTCCAAAACTATATCATTTGCAGAAGTGTTCTGCCTAAAAATTTCAGGCCCCTCCTTATTTGGTGTTTGATTGACGTCTCTACATATCTGCAGTGGACCAGACAGACACCAATGCTCCTGCTAGTGATGGTCCACCTCCAGAGACCCAGGAGTCTTCGGACAAGACCACACCCCCTGATACACAACAACAGGCCCCGCCCACCACTGGTAATGAGGGGGCGGAGCCTGAGAAGCCGCCAGAAGCCAAGAAGCCAAAAAAGCCGACGGTGAGATCTGTGGACCTGCCAATAGCAGAGGTGACTACCTCCCTCACTAAGAAAGAGCTGGACAACATGCGGGAGAAGGAGGTGTGGTCTGTGGGCGTGGTATGGGCGTGGTTTTATTATTGGTCCTTCTCCAGGTGCAACTAAACTATCAGGATGAGTTGGAACAGCAGAAGAAAGACGCCAAGAACGCCGTGGAGGAGTATGTGTATGACACGAGGGACAAAGTGAGGGATTACATCATTGCCTGTACATAAAATGAATGTGAGACTTTCTCCATTACATCACCAGTTGAGTGATGCACTGTCTGAGTTTGTGACGGAGAAAGAAAAAGAGGGGTTCTTGCGAGAGCTGACGGCCACAGAGGACTGGCTCTACGACGAAGGAGAGGACCAGTCAAAGAAGGTCTACGTGAAGAGGCTCGACGAGCTCAAGAAGACGGGGAACAAGGTGGTGACTAGAGAGGTGGAGTGGAGAGAGAGACCTCGAGCTTTTGGGGAGCTGGCTTCAACCATCATCCACTTCGAGAAGATTCTGGCAGAGTACAAGGATGAGGTGAGAGAGAGAGAAAGCAGCGAGATAGGGGGGAACATTTTATCTGTTTTCCCTCCAGACAAATGAAACGTACAGGCATATCGAGGAGGGAGAGATGAAGAAAAGTCGAGGAGGCAGTCAACACTAAGCGAGCGTGGATGAACACCAAACAGCATGCATGTGACTTATCTCCCAAGACTGCCGACCCAACCGTCAAATCCTCTGAAATACGAGCAGAGAAATCAGTAAGTCCACCACCTCAGTGGTGGGTCCAACATGTTTAATGATTGTTTGTGTGTCTGCAGAATTTGGAAAGCAGTTGTAAACCGATAGTGACAAAACCGAAACCAAAGGTGGAGCCGCCCAAGGACAGTGAGAAGGAAGGAGAGAAGGAGGGAGAGAAGAAGGAGGGAGAGGAAGGAGGGAAGGAGGGAGAGAAAAAGGAGGGAGAGGAAGGTGGGAAGGAGGAGGGGGAGAAGGGGGGAGAGGGAGGGGAGAAGATGGAAGAGGACCAGAAGGAGCCAGAGCAGGAGATGGATCTAGACTGACAGCACACCTACTAGCCGCAGCGGAATCTGTAGAGAACATATTAGGGCAAGGATTTTATTGCTCACACAACGGCAGACATTGTTTCATTGGCTACCTTTGCTGATTTATTATGGAGCGTTTCTCATATGTAATGGTGTATGATACCCAAGAACAAGGGATATTTATTATAAACGAACGAGAGACATCTGAAACATTGGTTGCGTGTGCAAGAGAATGATTTGTTGAGGAGTGGAGTCATTATTCAGGTTTGCTCTTGGGGTTGCTCGCGGCCACGTAGTGGAACAGCACCACTAGCAGGAAGAGAGTCACCCCCATGACATTGGCGAATATTGCCAGTTGGACGTCGCTTATCATCGCTCGCTGCCGTCACGAGACGAAGAGAGAGACGGATACAAACTCTAAAGTCATGGTAAACTGGTGGATGGTAAACTCACCTCCTTTCAGCCCCTCTCCTGTCTCCACGTGTTTTTTTTCTAAACAGATGATGTGCTCTAATTGAAATTAGTGGATGCGCATCAGATAGAAAACACCGCGAAATTTGTTTATCGTCTCGTTACCCATGGAGATACAGGGGGAGCAGATGGCCGCAGGCTCTGCTGGCTCACTGCTGCTCGGGGAAGAGGGTGAAGATGAAGGAGAACGGACCTCAGAGAAACTGAAGGCGCAGCTCTACCTCTCGCTGCAGTCTAAAGGCATCCTCTCGCAACTGAAGGTGACAGCCTCAGGGCCTGCAGACCTCGCTTTCTTACGTCACATCTCTCGTTAATCCTGCAGAGTCAGTTGAGATGTCGTCTGGTTCAGGAACTGAGAAGAGGGAGTGGCTCAGCCACGCCCCCTGTTCCCCTGGCACTCCAGGTTGCCAACGGTGTGGTTGCCGAGCACCTGAGGGGGTGTGGCTACCAGTACACCCTCTCCACTTTCCTCCCGGAGTCCAGCACCCACCTAGACAGAGTACGTCCCACCATAGACGCTTATTTACCAAATCATCCAGACACAAGGGGTTATTAATTAACTTGTGGGAACATTTCGGTGGTCGATTGACTGTTCTTGTGGAAGTAAAGGTGTCCTCATTTCATTAGAAGAATGTCTACCTGTAAAACTCTCTCCCACCTTTTGCAGCTGCTGTCCAGAGAAGACATTCTCCACTATCTTCACCTCCAGCCACCAGCACCGCTTCATTCCCTCCTCACCGACGACACTGGCAGAGGTCTCTCTCTCTCCACACCACCCCACACACTCACACAACACACACCCAAGAACCATTCCATAATCTCCTTCTCTCTGTGTTGGGCTCACAGTCTCACACAAGGCATTTCACAATTTGACACATGTTGGTCTCGAGCGTTGACTTTTTTAATAAAACTTCCTCTCAACATTTGCAGGTTTTCTGAGAGACCTACTAGATTCCCATGGCCACTGTATCAGTGGGCGGAGCCACGTGTGACCACACCCACTCTATTGGTGTGCAGACGGAGGAGAGGGTCGGAGGAAGAGGGGGTGTGGCTCTCACACTGGCCGAGAGGTTGAGAGCTTTGGACGAGGAGCACTTTGCTCAGTTGGCAGAAGAGGGAGGAGGGGAGGAGGGGGAGAGAGAGGAATGGAGGAGAGAGTGCGAGGAAGAGTTGAGGAGGAGATGGAGGGGGAAATGGAGCAATTCAGGTGACGCACATGCAGCCAATATACCAACCTTAGTGTTTTTTCCCTTCATAAATGTGTGTTTTGCAGCCCCTAAAATGTTGCCAGTACAATTCTCTTTTGTATGCAGGGAGACAGAGTTGGCTAAAGTTAGGGAAGAAGAGAGAGTACGCTGCGAGGTCCAGCTGCGCAATCTGCGGATCGAGCAAGAGGAGATCCACCACTAAGAAAATGGAGTCTCTGCGCAGACTGGAGCTGGACACTCTGAACAGTCTGCGGGCCCGGCAGTTGGAGACCGAGGCGGCTCTGTACTCGAGAAGGCAGGAGCTAGAACTGCAGCTCCAGGGAAGGGGATGAGAGAGGAACAGCTGAGGAGAGAGACAGAGGCTAGGCAGCAGGCTCTTGTGCTGCGTTGAACAAAGGCTGTCAGTTGCGAGCTGAGCAGCTGGGAGTGAGAGAGAGGGAGGTGATGGAGTACAGGAGCGTATGGAGGCTGTGGTGAGAGGGGAGTTTGCTGCGTGGGAGACTCGACTAAAGACTGAGCAAGGTCGACAGGATGCTGTCAGAGTGGAGCTGGATGAGGCGAGGGTGGCGGTGAAGGAAGAGAGGAGGAGGAGGGAGGAGGTTGAGGAGGCCTTGCACCAGGCCAGTAGACAACTGGTGGAGCTGCAGAGACAACGAGAGGACTCTCTCAGAGCCCTAGAGAAGGTCATTTATACTAACACGATTCTCCAACAGTAAGAGAGAGTATAGTGTTTTCAGAGGAGCATATCTGTGCAGTTAAATACTCAAATTCAACCCATTCCTATGAAATGGATACTTGACCAATACATCTGCAAAAATTGTTTCCTTTAATCATGTCAAAAATTTACCGAATATTTGCCACTGTAATTAATGGGGAGTCAGCTACCTATTATTCAAACTGTATTTCTACTGGTGTATGCGTGCATGCAGGTGTCAGACCACGGAGCTCTCAAACAGCAGCTGGCGGAGGTGCGGACCCAGCTGGCCAGAACTGAGAGGAGGATGTCTGAGAGCAGGGCCGAGCACCGGAGACTGCAGACCGAGCAGCAGGAGATGATACGAGGTCTGCGCAGACAGCTGGGCCGGCCCGCTGGAGAGCAGGGGAGGGAGGAAGGGGAGAGGGTGCAGAGAGAGCTCCTCGCCAGACTGACTGAGGCTGAGGAGGAGAAGAAACAGCTGAGGTGAGGCGGCCACAACTTTCACTAAACATTCAGTGTAACTTCTCCCTAGAGTCTAGGGACACCATATACCTCTCTACATTTGTTTCCCCAATATGTAGCAGTTCTTGCATGTGATAGGGACACCTCACTAATATGACCCAAGACTGATTGTGGAGCTTCACTTGTCCTCGTCTCTCCCCAGAGAGGAGTTATCTCGGCAGGCGGCAGTGGTGGGGAGACAGAGAAGCCAGCTGGAGGAGCAGGCTCTGGGACTGAGGGAGATGGAGAGGGAGGTCAGAGATCTCTCCGCCCAGCTCGCTCGCTGGCAGACCTCCATACCACACTCCAGATATTGTACCACCAGGTACTGTACATACGTATACTGCCTTCGTATTGTTGAGATGAGTATTTAGTGGTAATTATGGAGGATAACGTGAGTGTGTTGGAACAATCATTATACACCGGTGACTGTGAAATACATTCCTCACAGATCTGCTGGGTCCCGACAAGCCGCTGCAGTAACACAGACCCTCATTTCCACCACTCCCTCTCCTCCCCACGTGTCCCCGCCTCACCTGGTCCAGGAGACGAGATCCACTCTCGACCAGCTGGAGCAAGAGACTGAGCAGCTGCAGATACACTACCAGCAGTTGTTTCACCCTCCCTCCCTCCCCACTCTCACACGCTCACCCCCTCACACCCCCACCTCCTGTGCCGTGCTCAGCTGGCCAGTGGGTGGAGCCAGCTCCATGACGACTACGTCTTCCTCTGTTCCTCTCATTGTTCACACCACCTCCACAAAGACCACACCCACCTGGCAACTTCCCAAGACCACACCCACTTCATTTCCTGCCAGGACCACACCCATTTCCGTTCCCAACATTCCTCCAACAACAACAACACCCACTTTACATCCAAATTGTGTTCCTGAGACCACACCCACTACAAATGCTAATTTACAGTCTGGGACCACACCCACTACAAGTATTGCTCCCCCCCAAGCCGCGCCCACCACTGAATCTGCCGTTCCTCGTCTGTCACTGGACCAGCTGTGGAGACAGCCATCGCAACATGACCCACCGACAACTGCAGTCTCTCTCTCTTCTTCCTCATCTCTACCAACTACGTCAGTGTCTGTATCTCTTCCTCAGCCCACTACCTCACTTCCCAAGATCGTTTCTTCTTCTCGTCATCCAACTACTTCACTCCCTTCTACACCTCCTGCTTCATTTTCACAAACGGCTTTAGTCTCTTCAGCAAATTCTGCTGATCCCATCTACTTTAGTTCTGTCCACTGCTGCAGGCTTTTCACTCTCCCCAAGTGCTGCTTACCAAACCTCTTCATTATCCCCTGCTCTACCAACAACTTCAATAACTACACTCTTTCCAACAACTGCTGCTTACCAAACCTCTTCATTATCTCCTGTTCTACCAACAACTACTGTCTCTTCTGTTTATCCAACAGCTTCATTCCCTACTGTCTCCACTTCTGTCAGTAGGCACAATGTAACTGCCACGTCACCCACACCACCCAGCTCTGTCGAAAGAGCAATGGAGACCAAGGAAACGGAAGACGTAACTAGTTCTGCTGAGACCAAAGGAGGGGTGGACCCTCTAATGATGAAGTACATGGAGCTGGTGGCCCAGAAGAGGGCAGAAGAGAAAAGGGAAGGCAGGGGGCAGCAGCCACTGCAAGATTTCTCTCTCTCTGAACAGAGCCAGGTGAGTTACTCTCCACCCTCTCACTGCCTCTCTATTATTCACCACTGTATATAGGTGCAGGAAGCCAGGTCTCTTTCTCAAGCCACTGACAGGTAAACCTTGACTGCTTGTGTTCACTCAACATGCTATGCCTTTGTACAGTGTCGGAGGGTTTTCAGATGGAGACCAAGGCAGCAGAGACCCATTTCAGGATTGGTGACTTTACAAACTCTTCTACCTGTGCTACCAAATACTTTAGCAGTCATTGCTATTGATGCAGCGCATTACAATACGTAGCTCATTTTGCAGCAACAGAAAGTAAGAACGTATTATTATAACAACATGATAGTATGTGGTTGAAGGGATCGGGTCAGGCCTGAGAGACTAGGTTGTGGAGTTGGGCTGCAGCTGCTGACGGTACTGGTACCCACCCTCCCAGAGAGCGTGGTGGGAGTTCATGCGAGCTCTGGCCTCCTCTCTCTCTCTCCTCCTCCCCCTCTCCCTCTCCTCTGCCTCTCTCTGCAGTCCCGTGGCCACCGGGAGACTTTTACTCTGCTGTGAACATAGTCAACATTAACACAACAGCAGGGTCAAAGGTCAGCCACACCCACTCACCTTGGCAATCCTCTCTGAAATGGTAGAGGTCATAGGATCATCGGCTGTATCAGTAGGGAAACCCCCTTGAAGCTTGCACTTTGACCCTGCACCAATAGCAATGTGTACAGTCATGTATGTGATAGAGTGAGGTGTGACCGTGGGTGAAGGGATGGGTACAGTGAGCTGTGGGGGCCTCGTCTCTCTTCCCGACTCTCTCCATGTGCTCCACTATACTCTGGAACTACAGTGAGAGGACTTTGACTGACAGCACAACATCCATTCTTCATGGGTGATGTAGTAAGTACACATAGGTAGAGGTGCCTTAACACTTTTAGCAAGCACGTGGAGAGAATGGTATATACACCAACCATCCATACTCAATATCTTTACTATAGCTGGAGTGTCCAGTGCAAATGTAGCTGCAGATGGCCTGGATTATAGTGAGCACGCCAGCTGACCGTGTAGAGTATGATGGCTGTCATTTGGTAGTTACGTTTTACCAGGTATATTATACATATTGTCCTCGTAATGAACCCACCCACATTGTTCATCTAACCTCCTTCTGTGGTGGGTGTGGTCTCGGCTGTCGTCTGGCAATCAGTTTCCCGCTCTTGTCCCTGTGAGGACTGCTGTGACCCCACGGAAAGTAGCTGAGGGGAGACCCCTGGGTAACATGGGTTAATTAGCCTCTTGGAACAATGTGTTGAGCTGGCTCACCACTCTCTCTTGTCTCTTTCTCTCAACAGCCTCCTCCATCTGATCTTCTGTGAGATGATTACCAATCACACAGGGGCCACCCCCACAGTGAGTGGACTCACGAAGTTTCCTGGCGTATCGAGACTGCTGCGATCTTCTCTGACTCTCTCTCTCCTCCTCAGACATTGACCTCATCAGTGTAGATTGGTCCCCTGTCTCACCCTCCACTGCTCCTTTATACCTCTGCACACATACACACACACACACACACACTCTAAAAGAGGGTTATCTAATCATCCCTTTGTACCAACATATATGACGTATTAACCCATATGCAGTGTTCCTAAGCTTCAATTTCATGACTTTTAAGGCAGCACGTCTGTGTAAAGTGTGTTGAATAATATTATCATTATACCAGAGAGTTCTCGACCTCTCTGCGGAGGTGTGTCTGGAATCTCGTCTCTGGATGGACCCTCATCAGTGCATCCACCTGACCGTCACGTGACTTCATTGGAGCCCCGCCCCCTGGCCTCCCGAGGGGTGGGTACCCAGCCTCCTCCTCTCTCACAGATGGTCTCTCTCCCTGCCGTGAGATTGGGGCGTCGCCTCTCGCCAGAAGAGTTCCACTGCGGGTCCACTACAGGACAAAAACAATTAATGCAACTACTTACACAAGTGCATTTCGGTTCAAAAGTTCAGCAAAAGTGATGCAGAGAGAGGGAGAGGGAGTGGAGGGGGAGAATTTTGTTACTCTGGGAGCTCCAGGTGCAGGTTTTCCCCAGGGATCGTATATCTGCAACATCTCCAAGTCCTGTCGACATGGGGAAAATAAACGACCGGCGTCAGTGTTAGAGTGTGATCCTACCTTTCTTTTCTCCTCAGCTAGTTGGACTCTAGCTTGTTGCTTTGCTTCCATGTGACTTGTTAGGTCCTCTTCTGCAGTCAAATGACAAACACGATCACATACTTTTCCACTCAACTCAACATGAACAAACCTGCATCCTTTTGCTCTTTCGCTGTCTTTGACTTCTCCCAAGAACTTTAAAAAAAGTACCATGTAATGTGTGATAATCGTGAGTGGGGCCTACCTCTGTCCAGTGAGTGTGTGAGAATGTCTTCCATTGTGTCCAGTGGAGGTGAGGTGTTGGCTGGTTGTGCCATACAGGAGACCTTGTCTCCCTCGCCGGGCTTGTCTCTCCACTCCTGGGGCCACAAAGTTGATGGTCTTGCCGTGATGACGTCGCTTGTACTCTCTCTTGGAGCCCAGAGCGTCCATCAATGCGCAGTTGAAGAGCGCAGGAGGTCAGGAGGATGACTTGAGAAAATCATATTTTCGCGGGAGACGTAACTATGGTGGCGCGGCGCGCGCGGCAAGTGTGCGCGCATGCGTTGATTGCAAAAGAGGGCGGGGCTGGTTTTGCATGCGCATACAGTCTCGATTATATCTCTAGTGGCCGTGTTTACGACATGGGAGGCGGCGGATCCAAGGAAGAAGGGATAGAGGATTTCAAGGGAGAGCTGAGAAAGACGCTAGACGGTCACAAAGACACCGTCACGTGCTGCACCTTCTCCCCAGACGGCAAGTTGCTGGCCACGAGCTCAGCGGACCACTCAATCCTCGTCTGGGACACGACTTCATTCCGAGTTAGGGGCCACCTGAAGAGCCACTCGGGAGAGGTGACGGCAGTAAGTTTCTCTCACGACAGCACGTTCCTCCTCTCCTGTGGTAGAGATAGTCGTGTGATCCTCTGGGACCCGCGGGCTGGGAAACTGCTGCAGAAATCCAGGAAACATAAGGGAGCGGTTCTTCACTGCTCATTTTCTCCAGACGACGCTCTGGTGTTTGCCACGGCATCAGACGACGAGACTGCGGGACTGTGGAGCATTCAGGGACCCAAGATGGAGCGGCGAGAGCTAACCGGACACCGAGGAGTCGTGTTTCAGGCCAACTTCTCTCCGGACAAGATCTTGTTGGCGACGTGCGGAAACGACAGAAAGATTCTACTCTGGAACAGAAGCTCAGGGAAAAGAGTCAGCAAACTAAAGGACCCGTACAGTCGAGTACTGAGCTGTCATTTTTCACCAGACGGAACACTTCTGGCGGCCATTGTGGACGGAGAGAGAGTGAGAATTTGGAATACTATGCGTGGGGAAGTTGTGAACGTTCTAGAAGGGCACCACATCCAGCCAATAGTGTGCTGTGCCTTCAGCCCAGACGGTCGGGCGCTGGTGACTGGAGCGGGGGACAAGACGTATGCCATGTGGGATGTGAGGGAGACACAGTCTCTGCCATTCTACCACACCAAGGCCCACGACAGCTGGGTTCAGTCTGTCGCATTCTCTCCCGACATGAAATACCTCGCAACTGGCAGCAGTGACAAACTAGTGAAAATCTGGAAATAATTTTTCTAACACCATCAGATTTTGAAATGATTTTGGTTTATTAATAAAACACCAGTTTTGATAAGATTTGTACAATGATTGGGTCATTGGTATACAGAGTCCAGGAAGGCAGTGGACATGGTACGGCAGAGCTGGTAGGTGGTCTCGAATGCCTCGTCCTCCAGATAGTAAGGATCTTGGACCACCTTTCCCTCCTCAACATAGCTGCCTAGGAGTCTGACTGTTGCCTGGCAGCCGGCAGGCTTCATCCTGCTCAGGTCTCGCATGTTCTGCTCGTCGAAGCAGAGAATGTACTGGAACTGGTGGAAATCGTCTACAGTGATCCTCCTGGCAGTGTGCCGGCTGCTCAGCTCGTGTTTCTGCAGCGTGGCGAGTGTTCTAGGGTCAGGCTGGTCGCCGATATTGTACGAAGCAACTGCAGAGCTGTCTACTCTCCACTCGTGAGAACATCCTCTCTTCTCTAGAAGGCTCCTGAACACGGCTCTGCCATGGGCGAGCGGCAGATGTTCCCCAGACACACAAAGTTCACCGAATGCTTCTTCATTGCATCCATTTTGGAGCCTTGCTTATCACTTCTGAGCATGCGCACTAGAACGGGGACTTTTGGTTGAAAGCGCGCGAAACTGTAAATACCGCCAATCTTACCGCAGACGTG